TGTTAAGTTTCTACATCATCATTATTAATTTATTATTATGATTAAAGTTTATGCTAGTCCTCAACATGAATATACGCCATTAAAAAAAGAAGAAATATACTGTGATGATGTCACTTGCTCTGATGCGACAATTTATTGTACTTCAGATTATACAAGTAAGATTTACGTTACAAGTAAGTTCTATTTATATAATCTCTGAGTGGCACATTTAGAGAAAGTCTTTTCACAGTGGGTCAATTTAAAAATTAATACGTGGGAGAGGGGTTTCTGCTTTTAATCCACAAAAAATATATTATGTGTATATGTAACAAACTACTAGGTATATGCTTTAATGGTAACAACTACATTTGATATATGTATTTTTTATTATTTTTCCTAGTTGAAACATTTTTGGACACTGTATCAAGCTCTTTTTCGGGTAGTGAAACAAAATCAGATTTTATTGATTTCAATTCTAACCCTGTACGTAATTATAGTATATACTTATTAATCTATTAAAACATTTAAAAACAATTATTTCATTCATTTTCAGGACGACGGAAGAAGTTATCAAAATGATAATCCTATGCTTGCGGCTACCAACACAAGTTTTAATCAATTCATGGAACAGGTAAATTAATGCTATTTGTCAATCGATAAAATATACAATCGAGGCTTGGTATGGAAAGTTGGTTGGCCATAATTACTAATATGTGCTGGGATCAAGCATCGTCCGGCATCAATGTGTCATTGTTTCTCAGATGAGTGTCTACCCGGGTTCTTGGTGACGAATAATTGCCCCACATAAAAACACGTGTTCTAACCTAACCAATCAATACTTCCACCCTCCCCCCCCAACACTCACACCTACCCAATGACTTATGTTACCGAGGGTAAAAAAACTACAATTATTAGATTGACCCTCTATGTTTTAATGTATTAATTCCTATACTCTATTCAAAATAAGACTGTGACCAGGCGGCCGAGTTGTGCGCATGGGCGTGGCTTTGTTCCGTGGCAGCGCACAACTCGGCCGCCTGGTCACGGTCTTATTTTGAATAGGGTATAGTCAGTCACTTTAACCTAATGTTGGTATTGACGGTTAGTAAAGTTCCGCTATTGGGGTATTTATTTATTTTTTTTTTTTGGGGCATCATTGATGCTGTTGTAACTGATTAAACATTATATCGACAAACCATTGGGGTATTGAGTGAGTGCCACTCTCACCTTATTGTTACTGTTATTTAGTACCCAATGAACATAGAACATTGAAATGAACACCAAAATATTTATTTTTAACATTTACAAATATTTAATATTAATTTTTTTTTCAATATAATTTTACTTTTTTAAAATAATAAAAAAATATTATTTTCTTTGATTTTTTTTTTAAATCTGATTATACATACACTTCTATTGTTATGTTAAAATATCAAACATCTTTGCTCGAGTGGTCAGACGTATTTTGCTTATTGCCACACAATATGCTTGTGAATATTAATGATTGTAGGTCAATAAGTGATGAAAATATATATATATAATTCTTTTATTTACTAATTTATACTTAGAAACATGTCAATTGAAGGAATTAATAGTCTCGGAAAAATTGCATAATATTTAAAACATGGGTTTACAAAATGGTGCTTACCACAATACCAATGGTTTTGTTAAATGATATTTATTATAATATGTAGTATTTTAAACAACATTTTTTTATTATGTGTAGCTTACATCAAAAGAAGAGATACAGAACAATATGCAAAGCGCTATGAACTGCCAAAAAAAAACATATCAATTCAATAATGCTACATTGACTTTACAGCAAGTTATAGGACAAGTAAATTTTTTCAATTTTAAACTTGGTATTAAAAAAATATATATTACATTACCAGTGACGGGAAAGTTCTTTTTTTAAAACTAACTAGTTCGATTTCAGGTTCAAACAGTTTAAAAAAAATACAAGATTAAATTATATTGTTGAAAATATTGTTGCAATTGGTAGATACCAGTGATAGTGAATATTATACAATAACACAAAAAAAATACAATTTATAAAACTACCTAAATGTAGTATTTACCATAATCTTATGAATATCATAGTAGGTAGTTTTCACAGATGATTTTTGAGCAAATCTATAAACATTTAATACTAATTTGCTGAATTGTTCAATTATAAAAATAACACGTCTAAAAAATACTCAGCTCTGTACCTATATTTTATTACAACATTAATATATTGTTTAAATTCTGTTGCATCCAAAAACCGCACACTTTTGATTTTGACTCTAAAAAGGTCGATAGACAAAAACCGTACAGCTTATCGGTCATTATATAACACATTACCATACATTTATAGTGGGTTAAAACCGCACACTATTTTTAGTAAAGATAGTGAAAAGATAAGATTATAAGATAGGACTATTCAATAATCAAGTCTTTAGTTGTCACTCGTTATTAGTCGGTCTCAAATTGGTTAGGGTACCTATGTCTATATAGTGTTAAAACATTAATATTTTAAATTTTTATATTGGATTTTAAAATTATTGAAAGTAATATAGGGGGCAAGTATTTATTACTTGACAATTTTAAATACAGAAAATTTAGTCAGTAATAGTGGAAATGTGGTTTGGCGCTGTTATATTAAAAACTGTACATCCACGGTTACAACATGCAGTCAAATGAAGAAGTCAAATAAATGCATAATAATAATATTTTTGATTTTTAATTAAATTGTATTTATTTTTAGGAGCAATTGCTTCAATTTTGGAAAGAATTTTTAGGTGACGGAGATCGTATAAAGTTTTTAAAATAATAAATAATTAATTATACATATACATATAAATTTTTTGTTTATCGACCTTTTTGGGGTCAAAATCATAACTGGGGTTTTTGGATACGACAATTTTTAAAATAGTGTGGTTTTGACCTATTAAATGTGCGGTTTTAACCTACCAAAAGTGTGCGGTGTTGTCCTGTATTTTATCAAAAGTGTACGGTTTTTGGACGTTAAATTCTTACTAGAAACTACAAAGCAATAAAAACATGTAAATCCGTCAACAGAAATATCTGAATTGTTTCTTTGATGATAATACGGTGTACTTGTACGGAATCACCTATTCCAATGTAAATATAAAATATCAGCTATAAGTTCTTCATATGTATGAAGTTTGATTTTTTAATGAACAATCTATCTATAAATGTTCATGGTAGGAAAAAAAAACAACTTAGTTCATGCTCAAGTTCATTACTTAAAAATTTAATGCATTTTAGCTTTTTCTTTCCCATCACTGTACGTCACTAAAATATTTAATCATTATTAATTGTTATTAGGGATTTTATGGAGTTGTATTAGAAGGCTTGTTAGAATCTAATGATAATAAAAAGAAAAAAAAAGTTGCTGTGAAGCATATGAAAAGATCATTCCAAACCGAAGATTTTCAAAGAGAAATTGGAATTATAGAAGTAAGTCTTATTTAACTGTTTAACAAATATATAGTATACATTTTTTTGATTTTTGTTTTAGGGACTTAGCCATCCGAATATTGTTGAAATAGAAGGTGTACTAGAAGAACCTAATTTAATGCTCGTGATGGAATATATTGAACTAGGTTCATTAAGTAGTTATTTGCGATTACACGAAGATGAACTTGTGGAGGAAACTAATACATTATTAAAATACTCTTTAGACATTGCTCAAGTAATTTTTAATTTTTTTAATAAAATATCCATTTTAAAGATAGACTTACACAATACCTATATAGTATCGTGAAGTATATGCATAACAATATGTATTTTAGGATGTCTTAAATTGTGTTATAAGGATAATTTATTTTTATTTTAGGGAATGGAATACTTAGGCAGCCTTAATATAATACACCGAGATTTAGCTACTAGGAATATTTTAGTATCAAGCCCAACAACTGTAAAAATTTCTGATTTTGGTCTTGCTCAGTTTTTACCTGATGAAAAATACTATTACTTACAAACAATGAGAGATTTGCCTTTGAAATGGTGAGTTTTGTAAATAACGATTGCATGAAAATGTTGACGCTAACTAAATTATAATATTTTTTTCTTTAACTAAATTGTACACTTCTATTCTAGGCATGCTCCAGAGGCTATTTTGTATGGAAAATTTTCTCCAAAAACTGATATTTGGGCATATGGTGTATTACTTTTTGAAATTTTTTCATTGGGTAAAGAACCAAATGTAGTCTCTAAACTGGAAGAAAGGCTAGATGTTGAAAAACTTATAAGGGTTTTGGAAGAAGGTCACCGATTACAATGCCCATCATGTCCTCCATGCACCCTAGACATATATAACAAACTTATGCGGCCTTGTTGGGCTTATGTAGCCAGCGATCGTCCAAATTTCTCAGATTTAATCAATAATATTAAGTCATTAATGACCATTGAACCAGCTGAATATTTTACTCACGGATAACCAAGATGTTCGGAACCAAATATTCTTATATCATGACTTAACTATTATACCGGACAATCAAGTGGTACAATCAACTTATATTAATATGTAAGTGTCCTGAACAATCAACATTCTTATAAAACAGCAGGAACTCAAAACACGAGGATAATTAAATGAAAATTGTTATATAGTTTTCAAGAACTGTTTTATATAAATATTTAGAAATTGCACACTAGTGATCTAGTCAAACAAAATAAATATGTTACTTTGTATGTTTTTAGCCTTTAATTCTTTGTTTTATTGAAGGTATAGATGAAGAAACAGCGGAAACCAAATATTATTGTATATATCATGTTAAATACTATTTATACATTTTATGTATGTTAAGATTTAATTTACTTCTATCATGTATGCTAGTTACTCAAATACTGTAGTTATTATTTGCTTAATTTAAAGAAAAATGTTACTTAATATTTGTATGCAATAAGACTGTACCCATTATGTGAATTGGAAAACCTAATATTTAATATAATAATGTCAAAGAAAAATGCAAGACTTTTCAAAATAAACTGTATTGTACTTAAAATTAAAATACAATTTATTTAGGTATGGTAGAACTACACTTTCCACAGTAGAATCTGTTGGGCATCTCTGCCATGAATACTCCAGGTCCACAGTTTTCAGCAGCACATTCTTTCCTTAACCTATGCACTTTTCCATTTTCGTCAACCTATATATAATGATAATTGTATGAATTATGAAATTATTTTATTAGTTTAAATCATTAATTTATAATTCTTACCTTATAGAACTTAAGAATTCCTAACTTGATCTTCCTCTTCTTGTGTTTGATTTTTTTTGGAGTGGAATAATTTTTCTTCTTACGTTTCTTAGCACCACCTCTTAAACGAAGTACTAAGTGAAGCGTCGACTCCTTCTGTATATTGTAATCAGATAACGTGCGACCATCTTCCAATTGCTTACCAGCAAAAATAAGACGTTGTTGATCCGGGGGAATGCCTAAATTATAAAATTTTATAATTACAACTGGGCAATAATAATGTCTACCTTGAAACTATTTTGGTCAAATACATTTTAGTGATAATTTTTCAGTAGGTTGATATACAAGGGCTTATAAATGGGGTTGAGCATAAATTATGGATATCCTTAAGAGAACCTTATATTATTTAAACTATAATAATCAATTTCTAAAGAATATACCGAATAGCTAATTAATTTATTTGCTTACTTTATTTTGAGAATATTGATGTAAAAAAGTTTGTTTCCAGTGTGACTAAATTTTAATAAAATACCAAAGACAAAAAAGGTGGGCAATTATTATTTTAGTTAAGAGCATATTATTGATGTTGCAATTAATGGATGGTAAGTGTGAAAATTATAAATGTATAGTTTAATGTAGACATATACTCTTTATTATACATAATGTTTCTATTGTAACTAGTATAATATACAGATTTTTTTGATTATTTGAAGTAAAAAAAAATAAATATATTTCACCAGTTTAAGGATTATTAAGAGAATATTTCAAGACTTATGGAGCATATTTTAAAATCTGCTCTTTAGTTATGGATATTTTATTTACTAGTTGCTTGAAATAACATACAAACACATTATATTACTCATTATTTTAATTAAGATCATTACATGTTAACAATCCAAATGTAATGTACATAATGAATGTTGCAACTACAAAACGTACAAAAAAAAAAAAAAATTGTTTAATTGTAACACTTATATGAAACAGTCACTTATATGTTTATTTTATTAAGTAGGTAATATCAATTTAATAGTACCTTAACCCTTTGATAAATGCATTAAAATATGACTATACCTGAGTATACTGCATTAAATTTACTTTATTGGAAATTCTGTTGATTGTGGACAGAATGTCAGCAGTTTGGTGCCGAGGCATATACCAGCAGTAGTCAAAGAGCTTAAGATATTATTTTGTGTTTAATAGTTTTTTTTTTGTAAATATTAAATGACGTCAAAATTATCCATATATTGATATTAAAATTTACCTTCTTTATCTTGGATTTTGGATTTTACATTTTCAATAGAATCCGATGACTCAACCTCGAGAGTAATTGTTTTACCCGTAAGGGTTTTAACAAAAATTTGCATCTTGCCCTATAAAAATAATAAAAATATTATTAGTTCACAAGTATTTATTTAAATCCTTAATAGTTAATACTATTGAACTTTATAACATTCATAAATGATTTAAAACTATATAATCATTATAAGGGCTAGTAGGATACGGAACACCTATAGTACGGCAAGTCCATGTTTAGTTCGTATTAAATCTAAAATTTGGTAAATTATTATTGAGATTTAGCATTGTGATTTGTGATCAAATCATCAAAATTCATAACCAAGTGTTTTAACCTAGAAATACTACAAAAGTCGACGAACAAGAACATTTTCGTATCGTTAAGGTCTACATTTAAACATTAATAAAAAACAAAAAAACTCTATACTTACGAATACACTTCGCACAAAATGAAACGCAAGACAAAACTCGAAAAAACTTCAAACCGGAGCCATAAGTGAAAGAATTTTCGACAACTATACGACAGTACGACACATAACCTTTAAAAATTAGACGACTACAACAAACAGGTTGTTCACTTTTGAAAACTTAAAATGTCTCTTTTGGGATAATTTTTTTTAGCTTTATCGTATTTGATTTTTGTTCCCGCCAAATGATTACAGCAACAATTGAGATTATAATTTTCCTAACATAATCGTAGATTTAATGTAGGCAAAATTGTACTACTTTAATTCGAGCTATTACCTGCCTACTTGGTGCTTACATTATTTGAATTTTCCGATTTTTAGCTCGATAATTAACTGTCAAGAGAAAACTAATACTTAGTATTCATCGTTTTGACGTCTTAGTGTCGTAGCTCGCAGTCTACCGAAATTCCTTAAAACCATATTTGTTCATTTTCTGTTTATTTAAATTGAAATTTTTTTTATTTAGCCGAAAATGAGTCTGTGGGCAGATAAATATCGACCAAATTCGTTACAAAAAGTCGATTACCACCAGGATCAAGCTCAGCATTTAACGAACCTCGTTAGTACATTGATTAAGTAGTAGTTTTACCAAATTGTTTTGTACTTGTGTTGTAATACTTTTTAAATAATTAAATAGGTAAATCAAGGCGATTTTCCACATCTACTGTTTTACGGACCTAATGGCGCCGGAAAAAAGACTCGTATTTTAGCATTGTTACGACAACTCTATGGTCCTGGAGTTGAAAGATTACGCACAGAACACATGAACTTCATGGTACAAAACCAATACAAATCCATAAGTCATACATTTATTTGATAATTTCTTTATTGTTGTCTCCATAGACTCCTTCAAATAAGAAATTTGAGATAATGACTGTGGCTAGCAATTATCATATAGAAGTAAATGCTAGTGATGCTGGTATGTATGACCGCATTGTAGTTATGGAGCTCATAAAAACTGTCGCTCAAACTCATCAATTAGATTCAACTAAGCAACGGCACTTCAAAGGTAAGACATTCTAAGTTGATATATTTTTCATTAATTTTCTGTTTTTTTTTTTTCATTTTATATCTATGTTACAGTGATCTTATTAACTGAAGTGGACAGGCTTACTAAAGAAGCTCAACAAGCTTTGCGACGAACAATGGAAAAATATATGGCTACTTGTCGTATTATTTTGTGTGCTAATTCCATTGGTCAAGTGATTCCAGCCATACGTAGTAGATGTTTAGCTGTGCGAGTCCCAGCTCCCACTCATGAAGATATTTGTAAAATATTAAAAGTAAATATCATTTTTCAATGACTAAAATATGTACCTAAAAATATTTTAGTCAAATATTATGTTAAGCGATTATATTCAACTGTTAAAAACAATGGCTTCTTTTTGGGAGATTAGAACACACGTGAGCATTATTTACCCCCATAGCAAATAGGCCGGCAGATTTTCGCTGTTCAACATTCAACGGTTGTTGATGAAAAAAAAATGCCAATTTTTAATTATTCAAAAAATTAATATTGTTAGGGAAATTATTGTCACAAATGATAATTTATAGTTGAAGTATATATACACGTGGAACTTTGTATAATATGTTTGATATATAAATAAGTGGTGTGCATGGTTGTGTGAAGGATCATATTAATGTATTATACATTATTATGTACCTATTTTTAAGTATGAGCTATAATTGTGTTTTTGTATCTATATTTTGATTATGATAATTGATTTTTAATAAAATTGTATGCTGAGTTAAAATCGAAAAAAAATATTTTTTTCTATAGCGTGGGTTGGTCAAAACTTGCTTTTTCTAAATCTCCTATCAAAAACTGAAATATCTACACTGGTTAAAATTGTATGATCACATAGTCAAAACCATTATTGTACTTTTAATACCTAATATAAGTATAATACATTCATTATAATACTTTATCCTATATAGTTTAGGCGATAGACCAATATCGTAGTGGGATAACAGTGTATTATATTCAGTGTGTTCCTAGGCACCTATAATTTTTTACAAATATAATATTGTTACAGTTAAATCTTATTTGTGTTTCCCACCATTACAGAATTTGATCTGTACCATTAACTTTTGCCATAATTGACATTGAACATTTTTATTATTTGGTAATGAAATGTGTTATAATTCACTGTTATTATTTTACATTATTTATAGACGATTTGCAAAAAGGAAGGATTAACATTACCAGATGAATTGGCATTAATTATCTCCCAGAATTGTGAACGAAACTTAAGGCGAGCAATATTAATGTTAGAAGCTAGTAAAGTAAAACAGTTAGTATTTTTACATATTATGTATTTTATTTCATATTTTTTTTTAAATTGTTAGAAATATTTGTAGTTCAATTTATTTTTGAAATAATAGGTACCCTTTTGATGTAAAACAAAGTGTTGTTGTACCAGATTGGCAACTTTATATTGGTGATACTGCCAAACAAATATTAAGCCAGCAAACTCCTGGAAAATTGCTTGAAGTTCGATCTATGCTTTATGAATTGATAGTTCATGGCATTCCAACAAATGTGATTTTTAAAGTGAGTAAAATTAAATTATAATATTATTAATGTGGACATATTTTCTATGAACATACAATTTTCAGTTTTTACTTAAAGAGTTGGTGAAAAACTGTGACATTTCGTTGAAACACGATATTGTGGAAATTGCATCGTTTTATGAACATAGTTTATTAAAAGGTAATAAAACCATGTTTCATTTAGAGGCATTTGTAGCCAAATTTATGTTACTTTATTCAAAGTTCATGGAAGAGTCGTTAAATGGTATATTTTAATTTTTATTTTGAATGTATAACTTGATTTATATTTACCTTAAATTAATTGTAAAAACAACATTGTACCCTTAATCACTATTTAATTTTTATAATATAAAGGTTGAACATTTTTTTATTATTATTGGTCTTATTTGTTAACTACTTAATTTTCTAAGAGCCTTAGAATTAAATTATAACTGATGATAGTGTTTCATCTTCTAGTAGCCTGGACTGTTTCACTTCAATGTTTCATCCTTTAGTCCTGGTATACCTGGTCAAACTATCGGTTTAATGGTGTTTTCCTAACTGGTTGATATTAAATAGCTAATTACCAAATATATTATGTACTTTTGATACATTCCACTTTTTAATATATTTAATAATATATAAATGTATTCAAGCTACTAGTAAAATATAAATATTGGAAATAAATGAATGTGAAATAATGCTTAAGTACACAAATATTTTATTGGCAAATCAATCAATCAAAAAAAAAAAAAAGTATGATACAGATTTGGTAGACTTTCGAGCTAGTTTTATACATTATAAAAGAATACATCATTGCATTCAGAAACAATTCTGAACCCAGATTGCTATTGCAACAATTGGTTATGATAATGTGAACAACTATTATATTTATTAAAAATTACTTCCAACAGTTTTCACTGTATATTAATAATAATATGATAATTATAAAACAATTTACAAAACATGATTCTCAATTCAAGTAATAGCCAGTAAGATGTATACTACATGTTTGTTGACAAGAAAACACAACACTTGATCCAGAATCTAATTGTATATCTATGTTTGATTGGTATTTATTACCTTCGTGTAAGTGACATATTATTACCTCTTGATCGTTAGTTGATGTTTTAATTTTTAAAGTGAATTTAAATCTGTTGTTTAGCACAAATTGAGGTGTTTCATATTCAAATGACCAGTCCATTGGCCTTCTAATAAATGCTCCATAATCAATGTCTATAACGGCCATGGTTAGACGTAATGTCTTTTTCACTGTTATAGTCTTATTGATACCACATTTTGGACATAAAGTCTCTGTATGTTGTCGAAACATATTCACACATGAATTTACATCGTTCGGTGTCAAAACTAAAGAAAAAAAAGTCATATTGAGTTATACGTCAGTACGATTTGCTAACTTAGTGTGTGTCACTGTAAAAGTATTAAATAAATTGTCATTAACAATCTCTGGTTATATATAATATAATATAATATTTAAATCTAATCTAAAATAAGCTATTTTTTTAGGTCAAACCTATAAACAGTTATAATATAATCATGATTCATGGGTTAAGCAAATTGTATGTATATTATTTCCATAATGTAAATACATGAAACAAGATAAATAAATGGCCTATGTAAGTTCACATAATGATAGTTTCATCGGTTTGTGGTTTTAAAAAAAAGATTAATATAATCAAAGAACTGTTTTTTTTTCAGTGCTTTTATTTTAAAATAAAATACTTTAATACTATAAAAACCACAAATAATAAAATATAATAATTATACTTTGGTTTTAAACTGTTGATATAAATGGGGTTTTGATACCGAACATATTTTTGATAGAACCATATTACTTAATATGTTTTGTGCATTGTTAACAAAAACTAGTTGGTAATGCAACAGAAAAATTAATATTTTAATTTATTATAAGGTCTTATAACCTACTATAAGTATACTATACTCTGTCAAACGAGAGAACATTCCGGTTCTGCTCATCCTCCTAAGTCACCCTGCTATCAAAACTGGTTGCTCTATGACAGGGTGTGGCTTGGGGGAACCAGTTTTGGTCAGTGCTCGCAGCATGCAAGGTATATACCAGCGGTTCTTAATTTTTTTGCATGCGCGGACCCCTATAAAAATGTTTTTTTAAGACACAAACCTTGAATTAATGAGAAAAAAAATTTAATTAATTAATTTTTTTTTTACACAATTTTGTTTTTCATTTTTAACAATCCAAAAATATCTATAATAATTCAATAAAAATAAGAATTAACGTCTGTGTATATTGTGTGCTCGTGTGACCAGAAGACGATAGCGCCGCGGACCACAGGTTAAAAACCACCGCTATATAACTATTACGTATATAAAGAATATATCAATAATACAACTTTTTCTAATGTAAAAATTAAGAATTTTTAAACTGCAATTAATTGAAAAAAAAATCAGTTGTACGATCGACTTCAAGAAGACTTAAGTATATGTTGTGCCACCCCAGATCTACCAAATCAAAAAATTAGCCATTTCCACTACGAAAATATAATAATTACAATTTCCCAACAGTCATATTTTGAAATTTCAGAACTTCTGTATTCATTTTTTATTAATTTTCTATCTCTTAATGTTTTTCAATGTTGCATAAATACAAGTTTGATATTATATTCCATCAGATATTTAAAATATTTATGTTCTGGTACACTTGAATTGTACCAGATTATTTTAGCAATCCCAAAAATCCATTTTCATACCTACATTGTAAAGTAAAAAACCATATTTGCCATCAATTTTACTTGTGAACTTTAATAATTTCTTCTATTTAAAGCAGAATTTTAAACTATTCCTACTTATATTGATGAATGAAATATGGTAAAATTCTATATATTATGTTAATCTTTTTATTTGTTTCCACATAATTTTTTTCAGCATTTCTCAAAGCTTCCAAATCAGAATACTAGTTTATTTTTTCACACAAATTAGATTATTTTCTATTTGTGATACAAACTAAGGTGGATTGCGTAGTGTACTAGAGTACAATTTTATATGATTTACTACATTTACTCTGTACGCAAAAAAAAAGTGGGTAAATAGAGTATAGAAGTGTCATACAAACACAATTGTTGAAGTTTAGTAAGAATAGCATCTGGGTGAAGTGACAAATTATCAAAGTACAAGTGAAAATTATTATCCAAGGTTTCTACTTAAAATTATATATTTTACTTTTAAAGTAATAATTGCATTGTACAATCAATAGTTTCTTTAGATATTCAAACTTGAAAGACCTCCCTTTTGGTGCCAACAAAGTTGTATGTAAAGAAAAAAAGAGTTCTACGTCTGACAAAGTTATTGGAGCAAACTTGAAGTACGTCATGCCGTTACTAGTTAAATAGGTATATCCAAACCTACATTCTCTTTTTCACCAGTTAATATTTTTTAAATATTACACATAATTTTAAATTCTTTTTTTTTTATTGAGAACTGTTTAATCTCGACTTCAATTGTACAATAGTCAATAAAACACGTTAAATAACTGAGTAAAAATAGAATACTATACAAGTCATAGTTTATACAAATACATTTAATATTTTGATGTCAATTTAGAATAGATTGATAGAAAAATTTAAATATTACGAAAAGTCACTAAAACACGCATTTATATGCCGCCCTAACCCATGAAATATGCAAAATCAGATTTGGTATTTGAACAATAACTAAGTCAAAACAAATTTTGGCGAATCCATTTTATTATACAGTGTAGCAAATGCATTAAATTCATAGCTCTGGTCATAACTAAGCAACAAAATTATCACAACATAAAAAGGAGAACTTAGGTTGTAAAAAATCATTTTCATATTTTCAATATTCAAACAACAAAAAAAGTTATTTAAGTTTGTAAAACAAAAACAATAATTGATTTGAAACGATAAGAACTTTTTAGAAAGTGATATCAAAAAAATAAAATTAATATTTCACAGATAATGTTCTGAACTAAATTGCACATCAATTTGGAGTCTTAACCATCACTACTATCCTGTGAAAAACTGTTTTTTGCTATGTTTTAAGACGGAGGCAACGTCCTCTTAAATAATTCAGGAGCAATATAACTATACAAATTCCAAGCAACAAAAATACATACATTCTGTTTCCACAGTTGTTTTAGTACTGGACTAAATAATAAAGTAAATGGTTACTATGGTTCACAGGGTTAATTCCCATCAAGAATAATATCTCAAAACTAATGAAACCCTATAAGTTTTTAAAAAATACCATTTTAGAGATTGGTAATGTGATTATAGTATACTCAGTTCAGGTTAAGATTGAACCGGCTTCACGCATGAAGACTGAGCCACCGAACAGTGCCTGATCCCCATGCGATGGCTTTGTGTTCTGTGATTGGCCGACAGTCATTAGTCGTCAGCATACACTCTCACCAGTGTCCAGAATGCGTGAAAAAAAGGAGTTTTGGTGGAGCGAGCAGTTCAATCTTAATCTGAACAGAGTATAGAACCCCAGATTATCCAAGCTACTAATTGGGACTGCACCTAGTCCAGAAACTTAATATTCATACATATCACGAAATTAAGTCAATTTATTTATTATACATAACTACATGATTATTAGAGTTCTGATATGTAAATTGCATTTCATATTTGTTTGTGAAACGAGAGGTTTTACTGTATTCAAAAATCATTGATCAATAAATATTTACAAATCAGGAAATATATATTTCAATAAACTGTGAATATTATGTTTCTATAGAAAAATAAAAAAGGTATAAAAATTATTTATTTATTATGTTTCACCAATAAAAATAAAACATTAGTCTTTAGCACTTTATTCATATGATAGATTAAAACATCAATATACTGTCAACAAACAAACACTTAGAAAAATTAAACTTACATAATTTTATTCATTACAAACATCCACAAAAATTATGTCATTTAAAACATTTATTATTAACTAGGTGACAATTAAGGTTAGTTCATGAGGTATTTAAATAAAAATGATTGGAGTTCAATAAATCTTAAATTATGAGTTTATTATTTTATTTAGAGTTATTCATATACAATTGGTAAATTATTGCTAGATTGGACACAATTCTATCCATACTTGCCAAAAATTGTCAGCAATTTAAAATATTATGAAGTATAATAAAACAATTGTATACTTAAATTGTTGATAAAAATTGTCTCAAATGTAAAAACTATTGTGCGTTATATTAAAAATACAGCTTTCAATTTTTTTTTTTTTTAACAAAAATGGAATACTGATATTCATTGTTTGTGGTCATTGTAGAAAAATGAATGATAAATAACAAAATAATCATAGGAATATCAGTCGGAATAAAAGACATATTGGATAAACTTAATTAACATGTTTTAGTTCTACATCAAAAACTAAAGTACTATTGGGTGGAATTTCAGGCGGACTTCCTTTAGCGCCATACCTGAAAATAAAAAATGATACCTTTTAAAGATTATACACAAAAAACAATTATTATATCCTACACAAGCATTGTACTTCAAATATTTTACTAATGAATAACTCAGAATTGGACACCAAAAGAACATAGCATAAAAATTATTAAAAATAATTATAATTATATCCATAACAAATTTCATAATATCAATAGAAAAAATTGATTGTTAAGATTATAAATTAATTTATCACACCCACATGTGTGGTTTCCGTTTTACAAATGTACAACTAAGCAAAAGCTGTTTTTACTAAATAAAAATAAATAATTTTATCTTTCTTTGTTTGTATTAGTTTCTGATTTCTCCACTATTTTTGAACACACAGGATAGAAAATTATCTATCAACAGAGTGCCTAAATTTTAGATAAAATAAATACAACAAAAGTTATTTGCTTCTAAACATTTTGTTTTTTTTTTTTTTCATTTGCTTATAATAAATGATTGGAAAGCGCTATTAAAAAAAAGGCACGCTGTTGCACAGATGAAGTTTTTCTTTAAGTGTCGTGAACATTTGGTAGTCTACAACAAATATTATGGTGCGAGAAAAGTTCTCCCACGCAAAACAGTTTTTGCTGTTGTACATTTGTAAGACGGAGACAAAATATGCGGGGTGACGTCCCCTTAACAATATACTTTTTAAATATTAAAAATATTGATCACACAAGAAATACAATTTTAACATAAATTAATTTTTTTAGTATCAAATGGAAATTGCACATGATGTATCGAAAATCCATTTTATTATATATAGGTAAATATAATTCTAAGGGCCGTTCTTACTATGTCCTAGGTTAACTTTAAACAGACGTTGTAAGAAAGGCCCTTAATGTTTCAAATATTTGTGTATAGTTTAAGTATGTAGTTAAGTTTAAAAGCTTTTAGTTAAGATAGATTTGACAAAGTTAAATTAGAATTGAAAATATTACTTACGCCATATTTGGTGGACATATAACTTTTCTTTTGCCTCCAACTTTCATGCCAGCAATACCAATATCCCAACCCTTAATAACTTCACCACGTTGTAGTCCGAATGTGAAACCAGGTCCTTTCTGCATGGAATCAAAAACTTTACCAGTGGATTTCAGACGGCCAATATAATACACTTTAACCTATTATATAAAAAAATATATTTAAGTATAAAATCAAAATATTAAACATGATTAATATGTACATTTTTTCCTGGTTTTGCAACAGCACCATCACCAACTTTGAGATCATTAATGATAACTCCACCATTTAACTTTTGTTGTTGATTTTGTTTATCTTTGGGCAACGGAGTATCTGGTTTAGTCTTTAATGCACTAAGTGGGGTCTTAGGTTCCTTATTTTTCTTTTTTTTACTACTTTCCGTTGAACCCTAAAATATAAATATAAATAAGATATATTATACAAAAAAAATATATTATTATAAATTTACATTTATCAAAGTTTGATTGGCATCAGGCGTTTTGGGCATTGGAGTCTTTTGACCTTTAGGTGTCTTTTCTTGACCTTTAGGGGTTTTCTGTTCTTGTTTAGGAGACTTTTGATCATTTCCGTTCAATTGTTTTTTTGGAGTTTTTTGTAGTTCTTTTGTTTTTTTAGAATTAGTAGTTATTACTTCTTCAGATTCATCACTATCTTCTTCATCTTCGTCATCGATATCATCTTCATCATCGTCATCTTCTTCATCTTCATCGTCATCACTAACCAAATCACTTACTAAACAAAATTAAAACAATTGATTTTTAAAAAAAAATTCAAGTTTAAGAATTTTAAAAACACAAAAGAAAGATAATAAAGAAGAATAAAATAGATTAAATTGTAGTATAATATTAAGGATAATGTAATTAGGATGTTTTTATTTAAAGATTATAGGTGGAAAATATAGGAAATTGTTAGATACACTTTGTAATTATTTAAAAGTACCACATTTTAGTTGTTCAATGAAATAATTTATTTTCTAGGTAATGGTAAAATAAAAGCGGATGACTAAATAAAAAACTTACATTTTATTCCATCATCCTCGCTGTCATCATCTTCAAAATCCATAATTTCATCAGAGTCACCCTCATCATCACTATCTTCATCAGATTGATTACTCTCATCCAATTTAATAGATTTATTTTTTTTTGGAACATCATCTTCAGATTTACGTTTATTGCCTGAAATAATAAATTGAATTTTTTTTACTTTTAAAATTGAACGCTACTCAACAAATATTAATCATTTCATTTACATATTTATGTAATATTAAAGTGATCATAGTTTTAATTAAATTACGAACCAGGTACTATTTTCTATGTAGAAAATATCATACTTATGTTGTCAAATTAGAAGAAAGAACTTTGACAATCTGATAGTATGTTTTTATAAATATCTTATCTAATAGTTTTCAACAAATCTTATTCATATGTACAATTGATGATGATTATCAATGTAGCATTTAAATGCTCAAATATGTAGTCACAAACATTAAACCTCTAATATATATATATATATATAAGTAAGTGGATAATAAATTCCTTAATTTCATAGCTAAGTTTTATATAAAAAAAAGGATCTTGCTGAGTTTTCTTTTAACAAGTAATATTGAATACTTAGGAATGTATGTAATAATATTTAAAAAGTACCTTTTTCTTGCACTGACTTTTCAGTCTGGGTTCCTTCTTCTTCAGATTCACTTTCTAAATCAGAATATAATTCATCGTCTTCGTTTAAGTCTAAATATCCTATAAATGTTAAAAAAAATTTTAATTACATTCTTTTATAATCAATATCTTATATAACATAATTACCAGTCATATGTATATTAGCAGTGGCTGATGTAACAAACTTCAAATCTGTTCCTCGTGGGAAAATATGGTCCAATCGGCATTGGTACAGTTTTGATGCTTTAGACAAGTGACAAAGGATTACACGTGGGTTATCATCAGTTTCGACATATACAGTATGTACATCATCAGCTGAAAATAAACACATGGAATTGTAGGGATAGGTACCTAAATTATATCAAATATCAAAATCATCAAGTACTTTTACATTATCAAGATTGTGTAGATCTCTACATATTTCAAACATTTGGTTGTCAGACTTATATGATACATTTAAACGGTTTTTAATAATATTATATCCTTCTTGATTCATAGTACCATACAGACTGGAGACTTCAAACCACATGTGACGGAGAATTTGAAAGGCGTTAAAAAGAATTGTAGAAATATTATTGAATAAACATGTTTACTATTGGTGTGTGACCTCACAGTTGTTTAGAGAAAATATTTATCCCAATAGACAAAAACTTTTACAGGTAGTATAAATTAAAGATTAATAGAATAAAAGGTTTTTATAAATCTCATAAGCACTAATCGAACATACTTAAATTGCAAGGTATATGATATTGTAGTACAAACGGAAAATATAAAATTAAGAATCACAAGTAAAGCATTTGGTTGTGCATATACCTATTAATAAAATCACGAATATAATATAAATTCAAAAAATCAAACGATGATCAATATTCAATAGGTAAGATTTTGACATTTGAATAAAAATTTATTTCATTTTATTGATAGAAATATATATATACGCTCGATACATACCCTTTTTAACAGATTCTAAATCAAGTGTAGCCATAGACAGGTGGAATGTGTTCTCGACAACCGTGCTGTATTTTTTCCCGGGTTCCATTACTATGCCTGTAAACGTGAACATCGTTTTGTCAATATATATTTATGTACAACAAAACGCAAGTACTTGTGGATTATGAATGTTAATCCGGCCATGCTATTAATAAATAATACGTATTGATAAATGACCGGACGGTGTATCATCATTAAATACAAAACGTCAAAACATAATACACAAGATTCAACAGATACACACGTGTTTATAAAAACAGCCTCAAGTACAATATTATACTTACTCCACATTTTGTCGGTGGTATATTATATGACCGCTTAAGAATAAAAAAACAATAATTGCGAACAATTACAACGGTAAAAAATATTCTTTTTGCACGTTTCGAAGCGGTGCAATTTCAAGAGCGAAGAACAACGTGACTTCAACAAGATGAAGAAGCCGAAAATGAACGACGATCGGCGTTTGACGTCCGTACCAAACACTATAGCCGAAATACAAACAAGGGTTACAAATTTACAATAACCAGGAGCCAACCGAACGGATAGGAATGCGAGGGACGGAAAGTACACAGTGATTTATCAGTGTGACCATATACGGGGAACATTGTAGATCAAATCTAAAATATTATTTGGCGCCTTTTTTAAATTCTTGTTTAACTCGACACTCTCCGCGCATTTGATTAAACCGCAGTAATATCCACGATTTAAGATTTTTATAATTATTTTTTAATTGGAATAAACTGAACATTTTGATAATTGTATACAATAAAATCTAACGTATTTACGTATACCGTATACCTACGTATTCAAAAACAAAAATAACGGCTTTAACAGTGTAATAGTACCTACCTACCTACTTTGCAGTCTGCCCAGGGAGTGTCACAAACGCACAGTAAATAGAGAACTGAGAATTGGAAAATAAAATGATTATAATATAATAGTATTCAACCACTGTACGAGTGTGCAATTCAACTAATTTGAATTCAAATATTCAATGATATAATATCAATATATCATTGAATAAGAAAAACGATTCTGAGCGAAAACAGTCAGTCAGCCAATGATATATTGATATTAACTAAATATATTTGATCATATTATTATGAAAAAAGTAATTTAAATATAACCATTTACGTTTAATCTTGCTTTAAATTTTCAATCCTTAGCTATAAAATTTGAACATTTAATAGATATTGAACTACAAAATAATTATTAAATTTTAAATTTGATAAATTTTGTCAAAATTCGAAATTTAAATACTAATAAAAAAAAATTGTGCCTATGTATTTTTAATATTTTTTAACTGTTATTGTAAAAATATACCAGGAGCCTTGCATTCAATTTTCACTCTTTTTACCCAACAAATAAAATTTGATTGGCATTCATAGAAAAAATACTAATAAAATTGGAAGCTAAAAATGTTCCTAAATAGTTCAAAACAAATGAAAATATTTTGAAAATTTTATCGTATATAGAAAATGCAAATATTAACATCCAGTGAAAATTTCATGTATATGCGTTCATTTGTTTTAGAGTTACACTAAAAACCAAAATCGATCTGGTGGAAAACCGATTTTGCGTAAAAATTCCCGTTTTTCCCGGGGCTTTTGTAAACTATATTGGGAATTTTAAATTTTGACTTCCTCAGTGCACGAACAATATTCACTTTCCCAGCAAACAAGATATTGAAGTATAAAATCGAAGAATTATTTCGACTACTTATAGTGTACACCGACACAAAAAAAAAAAACACACATCAATGTAAAATCAATACATTCATCGTTTCACTCAGAATTTAAAATGTAAAAAATTAAATTGGCTTAAAATTTTTTTATTTTCACAATACATTATACAATCTGTTACTAGCTATAGAACAATAAGTAAATTTGGTAGATGAATTTATGGCTTGAAGAGACAGATTAAAGAAGCCTTCCAATAAAGGCACTTTGTCAGTTACTCATAAGTCATAGGTTATGGCATAACCGTTATGCGTTTACAATGGTATTATACAATTTTAAATTTTAACTAAATTAGTAGGTTTGACATCACTTCCGTTTTAATCTTTTTTGGGGGTTACCTGGTATACTTTTTGACGCAAGTCCTTTGATTAGGGGATTGGTGTGGTTTTGGATATTTAAGTTGAATCGCCTGTATGCTTAATGTTCAGCATGTTATTTAATTTTTTTATTACATTATATAAAATAAATTCACAAATTTGAATATGTATCTACTAACAATTTATTTAATATATATATATATTTATCTTTGCATAGTTTGTACATGTTCCTTTACTTCTTCAATAAGTTGTATGGATCTTTTGAATTCCCCGTATTGTTGGTTGAAATTGGTAGAAACGTTCCTCAATTGATTTAAATTATGTTCAGTACGGTCAATATTAGATTCAAGCAATGCGAGACTTTTAACCGTTTGATTTAACATTTCATGACTCTTGGAACTTTTGTGGATTTGCTTGATAACTGATGACATATTATTAATGTTTAACTTTACTCGTTCACTCAACAAATTTTTGGAATCGCCAAAAAGGGATCTGGCACTTGTGCTGGAAGCTGACGTCATTATCAATTATTACTATAATATTGTATTGATTCAAAAATTCTATATCACCAGTCACCTAAAAAATAATTCACATGATAATAGTTAATACTTCTAAAATAAAATCAGTAATAACACTGAATAATATAAAATCAGTTAAAAAGGTGGGAAAGTAGATACCGCTCTGTTAAACAGAAGTTGTCGAGAGGGCCACTATAGAGGGCCACGTAATCTAGTACAAATTAGACATTTTTATTTTTATGTTTATAATTGTAAATTTAATAAATCTAATCTTTAAATTATTTATAGTTTTGTTAGACATTAACCAAAATTATTAAAATATTATTTAAATATCATTACTTAGTGTGTATAAATGGGTCAGTGGATCTATATAGGTACCAGATATACCTCAAATCATGCTAAGAATGTAGTATAAAGACACATAATTTTACTAGTATAGTTACTACTAACTAGATTCGTAGTAGGTATCTATTAATTCTTGGATTAGGTAAATAATCAATTAAAATTTTAAGATTATTCACAATGTTTAACTATGGTTAAAACTTTAAAAATATTTACTAGGTATTTCATAGAAAATGGGACAATAGTTTTAATTAATATTAGTAAATTAATTATTGTGAATTGACTTGAATGTCAAATTTAGATCTGTTTTTTACTTTTGTAGTATATTTTTTCTTATAGTAATTCTCAAAACTCTGAACCATAAGTTAATAATTAAACTATTACTGTAGCTAATATTATATTATTAATCTATAGATTAATTAGCTATTACCATTGATTTAAAATTTGAAATTTTATGATTGAAAACAAAAAAGTAAGATAATTATCTCTTTACTATGATATAAGCAAATACTAGAAAACCTGATGATTAAGTTTGGAAGCTGCAAATTAGAATTAGGTATTTATGGTCTGAAGCATGACAAAATAAATACTCACTTTGCAGATTCAAAGATTTCTGAGAGAAAAGCATTTAATGTAAGTTTACAGGCCATGGCCCACGGTTTAAGAATATTTAGCATATTTTACATTTAAGTATCAAAATATTATCTAATTAGTAATTTAATGAATTTTTCTCGTGTGCATAGTAAAATTAATTATTTTCAAGTCACAGGAGACAAACTGACACCAAACACGGTATACATTTTCTAGACAGTAGTTCCATTTAATCTATTCTGTGGTAGTTCTAACTGACAGTTGACAGTTGACACCATAGATAAGTATAAGTATACACTAGCAAGCAACAAAATTACAAAACAAGTCTAGGATTAAGCAAATATTTTCGATACTATCGAAATATCGATATATTACATTTATCGATATTATTATATCTTGATATTTAAATTTGGACACGAGATAGGGACATTTCATATTGTTCCGCAAAACACTTGTTCCACAAAATACTTGTTCCAATATTAAATTTTTGGGATTTACGAAAAGTTGAAAATTAGCGCTATCTATCAGTTGCGTTGTTAGTTATTGGAAACCAAATCCAACATGTTTTGCTTCACATAATTCATAATACTTATTCTGATATGGCATCTATATACTCTATGGTCATTACTCATTTGTGGCTTGTGCCATTTTGTACAATACTTAATTTTACCAAGATTTAATATGTGTATTAAAATTCAAACTGTTAAATAAATTACTTAATGTAAGTAATAACTAATGAAAAATATTTTAATACGTAAATTAATGACAAGTGTAACAATAGGTAATTGGATATGGAATAAAATACTAGGGTTAAAGAACAAACACATTGGAAATTTAGTAAGAATATATTGTATTTATTCAATGAAAATAGAATCAAAAATGCAAAAGGAAAATTAAAAACAATATATTACATTAAAACCGAATCATTAAAGTAAAAGAATACATCAATTGCATTATAAGAATACTGATCGACTCGCTGTAATAAAAGAACACATCAATTTTATTAACTTAAACAATTGTATAGTTAAGTCCTTAAAAGGACTGCTTAGTGAAAAGTGCTTAAAGCAAACATTACAACCATAAGAAAACTAATTAATATCAACAGCTGGTTTTTTTTTAAATTCAATATTTATAAATTCGAAAGGATTTGAACTTTTCTGTTCTTTTTACCAGTACGCAATGCTTGATATTCCTTGTTGGTTCTATTCAATGAGTTGTGAATTTGAAATCTTAAGAATAGGTTAATTAAGAAGTCTTTAGGAAAGTTATCACACGGATGATAGAAAAAAATTGTATTTAAAATTAAATCTTTGAGAGTCTTACCCACGTTGGGCTGAGGAGCTAATGAAATGAAATGTCTATCAAAAACCTGATTGATTTGAAAAATATACTGATAAAAAGTAGAATTGGGCATTATTAAATTACCGAATAATAAAGAAGGATTTTCTTCATATGATTTAAAATGGCAATAAAAAGTTTCACTGGATAAGGAAGTAGTTGCTTGTGCAAAATTTAAACAAGTTGTACATTGATGAACCTTTAAACATTGCCCGATTAAGTAACCACAAATGTATGTCAAAGCATTTTGTTCAGGTAAATTAATTTGTTTGTAATTAGTGATGTTTGTAATAGGTAATGGAATTTGAATAGGATTTTTTTCTGGGAAAAGTATTTTAAATTCACTTATAGGAGTTTTTTCAAGACTGAGTAAGACATCATCTAAATCTTGAATACAGTTAGCACCTTCAGAGTGTTCAAAGTAATCAAGACAAAAAAGTTTTTTAAAAGTTCTTTTAAACTGAATGCATGTAGGATTTATGCAATTTCCATTTTGAATTCTTGCAGTTCCAAAAAAATTTTCTAATTTGTCTTGATTTGTCCTATATGTACATATTGGATCAATTTCGGAATCACTGTTATTAGTTAAATTTTGATAAAGACGATTTAATCCAGCTATTGATATTAACCAGCCATTAATAAATTTTATATTATATTGTCTAGCTATATTAACCCACTCATTTTTTTCAGCATCAAATTTTTGAATTTCTAAATTTTCAAAATAATTAAACATTAAATTTAAAAAATCAGTCTGATAAGAAGAGTTTGAAAATGGTAATGAATAACGTTTTGATCCCTCATGATTAGAAACTTCAGTAGAAATGGGACGAGAATTGAATATATCAAACAGCTTATCCATGGAATCTATGAAATCAATCGTATCGAAGGCACTATGCGGTAATTCATTACAAGAAACTAGGGTAGTCATCCCTGTAACCACTGTATGACTAAAAACTTGAGCGGCAAATTTGACTCTCATTTTTTGAAAACTATTAGGATTTAAATGAACATCAGTTAATTTAGGTGCCAATCGATGTTGATTACTTTTATCAAGGTCATAAAAATTTGTAAGATGAATTTTTTCTGCAATTTTATTTTGAGAATTGAAACGATAATTGAAAAAGTTATTTCTAGTTGCCTTTAATAGATGAGGTGGATCAAACATGTAAACAATTTCTTTGTCTCCAACATTAAAGTAAGGGGTCTGGGGGGTAATGCCTTGTTGATCTGCAAAGTGCTTAAAATTTGAGCCTAAATCAGAAATCATGACTACTACATTAAAAGAAATATTGGACAATTTCTGAACAGTTTGAAAGATTATATTTTGCAGATCATATCCAGTACAAGTAGTAGCGACAAAAAAATAGCCTATAGGTTGTTTCCAAGAACTATGCAAACCACTGATCATAATGACCATAACTGATTTAGTAACATCGCAAGACTTAATGAATCCTGTATTAAGAAAACCTATTATTTCATCTTTTTTGAAATCAAAGTAAAGAAAAGATTTAAGCGACATTTCATCTACACACAAGATACATTCTTTGGACTTCACTGTCATGGAGTTTGCTTTCACTGCTAAAACTTTAAATAAAAAGTCATTCAAACCAGGATTAATTTCCCAATTTTCTGTAGTTCTTTGTAAAGTTCTAACAGAAGGCAAACTCCAGGATTTCCGTAGAAATCTATATACTTTAGGACCCATAAAATGTACCATGAGTGCAAATTGTTTTATTTCATAAGAATACCTATGTCCATGGGGATCTTGCAAAGTTAGTTTGGACTGTATTTTAACAAAATTCGCAAAACCCTTATTCAGAAAATTGTCGCACATTAAATGAAAAAACTCTAATGTTGAAGACTTTTTTTCTAGGTCAGAACAATGTTTTTTTAGTGTAAGAAATTGTTTATGAAGATCATTAAATTTATTTTTTTGGATACTTAGCAGTTTATTCAGTTTATCCTTTCTTGGTGTGTTACTTGACAGACACTGATGTATTTGGGTTTGAGAATTAGAAGTGGCTGTGGAACTATTGCCTGAAGAATATGATAATGATCTCGACACAGAGCTGGCTACAAAAAAAAAAATACAACGTTAATATAATTTGACTTGCTTATTATGTTATTATATGTATAAATATAAGTAAATATTTACTTTTAGGAGTTGAACAAGATATGGCTGATATGTTTGACCAATTAATAGACGATATAGAATTACTATAAATGTCAACAGAATCAGCCATTATTCTTGAAGTACTACTAGTACTAGGGATGGATTCCTCGGGAATCATTTTTAAACTGCTGTTTTGTTGCAACTCTGCATCAGGCCAGTTGAATATAGAAGGCACTGCACTATTAATCAACCAACCATTATTCTTGAAATCTGTTTCAACGAAGTGCTCAGAACATAATTTATATGTTTTATTACAAATGGATGGACCCTTTTCCAAAAGATCCGGACGACGGCAGAAATTAACCCACTTATTAAATCTAAAGCATTATAAAATTATATATTACACAACATTGTTAGATTAATACATTATTAATATTTAACCAATTATATTAATATTTACCTTTCGTAATCCTTAGGAAATCTATGGAAAGTAATATTAATTGACAAGGGACCATACTTATTAGTACATAATATGCACTTAATAACCATTTTGCAAATTTTCGGAATAGCAAATTCAGCAAATTACAATAAAAAATTATGTACACTGACGGACACTGGTATTCGCACACGTGTAAAAGTAAAAGAAAACAGTGGAAACAATTTTTCTATGCTGGAAACAACCCGACCCCGCGCAGAATACCCTGCCTATTAAGCGGAAACGGTTTTTCAATACGGGTATAACATCATGTTGGCAAACGGAAACAGTTTGAATGTTCGGACTTCAGATCATAGGTAAACACTTCACCCATCAGCTGATCGAGTGTCGCTTCTATATTGTTCTATGGTTTGGTTCTCGGTCCGGCAGCTGAATTTTTGACGTTATTTCCCCCGGAGAAGTTCAGAATTTCAGATCCCGATCATGATAGCTTGTAGACGTACTCAGGAACTGAACCTATAAGAACCGGAAACTTTAAAATATTAAGAACTTGAACCGAACCGTAATTTTTAAATTAAATAGGTTCTTTCAAGTTCAAATATAAAATAATTTTATTTATCATAGTTTAATGGTATAGCCACGGCTTTAGATAGAACTTCTATGTTGTGGGTATTACACTGTTTTGTGTACCTACCTATAAACTATGTATGACTAAATGACTATGTATATCGATGGACGATGGTGACAATGCAAAAAGGCATAAGCGACACTTTTTGTAATTATGGCATAAGCGACGTTATTCTGTACCGATTGCTCTTACTCATTTATCGATATAATTATTATTTACGATATAAAACGAAAATTTAGATTTAGACATAAGCGCCAAAAAATGTAAATTAATTATAAGGTATATATTAATGACAGGTATCATTAATGACTAGATCCACGATCCACGTGTATATTGTAAGCTGAATGTAGGTTCTTTTATTAGTTATGTCTGTTAAAAGTAATTTACAAATAACAATTTTCATTTATTCAGTTAAGTTAAAGTAAAAGATTAATGTATTTGAGACCTACATTTTAAAATTGTTATATTTTCTATCTTGTGAATGTAAGACGAAGAATTCAATAACATATAATAAATACCTAATATTTTATTAAGTGTAGTGAATTTTTAAACTGGGGTAAATATTCGCTAGTGAAAAAATCGCTGGTGAAATTTTACTTGTGGTAAATAATCAGGTATCCGGACAACTACCCCCCTGTTTTTGGGGTAGTAGGATATTTCCCCCCCCTTTTTTTTAATTATTTTTTTTCATAAATATAATCAATTATACTTACTACAATTAACTTTATAAATGTATACTATAAATTTCATATTTTTTTTTTTCATAAATATAATAAGACAAAAAAATTTTTATTTTATATATTTTTCACTTTACGAATTACGAGTTACAATCACTAAACCACTACTAAATGACTACAACTGCTTTGAACAATTTTTGTACAAAAGTCCAAAACCTTTGCTCATGAAGATATAAGATTGTAGAAGAATCTTATCTTAATAGTCTAATAAAACAAATAATAAGATAGTTTTTGACAGCCCAGCAATTGATTGGGTTTTATATACAATTTTAGATTTCAATGTTACTAGCGAATAATACAGTACCTATGCTAGTACTATTATTTTTTATTTGGACAATCTTTTAAATATAATATTACTATTATTTTATTGTTTTAGTAGTTGAATTGATCAAAAATATACATCTACCATAATAGGTAATATTATAGTATAATTGATGATATTTATAAAAAAAAATGGGGGAAAATGTCCGCATCGAATATATATTGGGGGGAAAATGTCCGGGGGGAAATTGTCCGCCTTTCAAATAATCGCTATATAGTGATATTTTACCTTAGTGGGGTAAAGTATCACTGAGGTAAATTTTCGCGGTTACACCGGTATCGAAATTATTTGAAACCAAAACCTCTATTTTTTTTTTTTTATCAAAAACCAGAACTGGACGGTAAAATTTATTTTATTTTTGGATAACCAGTACCGCGGAACCGATACCGATAAATTTAAAAGGTCAAGTCCTTGATCCTTAGTAACTTGACCCTGTTCTATCGTTGCTATTTTAATATTGTTTCTTCTTGAGTTTCTATTAGAATTTTAAAAACAACATATTAAATTGCCGAATGATTTCAATATCAACAAATTATCGAGCTCAAATTATTGTTTGATTAAAATTGGCAACGTCGGAAAAAAAATTAAATATCGAGCATTCTCAATTGTGTTACTAAAAATAATGTTCTCAATCGTATTTTAACGTAATTTATTGATGATTTTGGTGTTATTGTAGTAACCGCGTGTATTGTTTTTAAAAGCGTGAAATGTTAATTTAGGATTTTAATGAATTGTCCGGATTTTTTATTGTGTTTATACAAAATGTTTAAATTTATCATTCAGTTAAAATACATTTATAAGGTACATCATAATTATTTAATTTTGTATTTTTAATGTAGATCACCATTGTCTTATTTTATTTAGTGAATCGCAAAAGCATTTCTATTTATTAGAGGCATCTACCACTCAATTATAATATTTGCCCTTTTATATAGCATTTGAAAATTATAATCAAATTATTTAACATTAAAATAATCTTGCTATTCGAGTTAACGGTATTTTAATAATAAGTACTTCAAACACTAATGTTACCGAAAATTGAAAATGTACACTCCGTAACATACACAGGTATATATAAGTTTAATTAAATAATAACTTTATTTTAATAATAGTTGTACATACTACATAGAGCGAAGATGGTCTAACTTTTTTTGTAACCAATTGGTTACCAAAAAACTTTTTTAATAATATTAAAATTTTAACAAATTCCGTATTTTCGTTTTTGTTTTCCCCAAATATTTTAAAAAGTACATACGGAGAATTTTCAATTTTAACCTCTTTTAAAAGTATCAACTATAGACCCATACCTAGACTCTGGATACGCCCGAGTGCCCGTGTACATTAAATGTAATGATGGGAAATTATGGGAGTTCGATACTCAACTTTTCGTGATTTTTACCCCTTTTGTCAAAATTCAAACTGTAAATGCTTATAAAAAAAATTATTTTTCAAATCTCATTGTAACAATATATTAAGAGATTTGTATTAAATTGTCAAGCTTTTTTACCCAACAATAACATTTTATTGGTATCTATAGACTAGAATGTTCCTGATGGATAGGAATTTAATGAACTGTTTTCGGGGGAATAGAATCAATTGTTATTAAATAAACCATTTTTCATACGACATAATATAATTTATATAAAGTATATATACTTACAACATGAATCAAATCAAAATCATTGAATTAGCAGAAATTAATAATTTAACAAAAAAACAATACAATTATACGAAATACATACTTTAATTAAAACTAACACAAATTACTGTTAAGTAAATTGCTTAAATATACCTATTTGGTTTTAGTAGTATGGTCTTCGAGGATTATTCTGAAACATTAAATTTAAATATTAAAATAAAACAAATACCCAACCTAACTTTGTTGCATGTATTATAAAATATAACTATAAATTATAGCTTTTATATTATTAACTAAAATTTATGTAAATTTATCTTACCAAAGGATTAGGGCGAAAGCGATAAGCTAACATCATTCGTTTTCGATAAGCATCAAATTCATCATCATTTTGTCTGAGTTCTGACGGTCTTTCAACACCCAATCCATGGTTTTCATTATGAGATCCTCCTCTGAAAATACAAATCTTGTTTCAAAAAAATACCAAAAATGACTACCCATTGACAAGATAGTTAGGAAATTTCATATATTTAAGACTATATAAAAAAATTACTTATTTACGGGCTCGACGATACCAGTACCACCAGATCCTAATCCTTGCCCTTCAGACCACCCAAGTTTTTGTAACATCTGAAAACCTATATTATCTTCTTTTAATTTAAATTCTTTATAATCAGACAAATCAGGCTCGCGATCTTCTCTTAAAGCGGAATACTAAAATAAATAATATTTATTAAATGTATTAAATGTACATAAATATAACATAAGTATTACGATAAGTTTAAATTCAAAACCTTTTCCATAAACCTAGCGAGTTCATCAGGAGGTAAAAAGTCTCCAATGTGATGTTTATCTTTAGACTTTTCAGTTAACTCTTCGGCCCATCTTTCAGTAGCAACCATTTCATCTTTTCTTAATTTATGTTCCCATGTACCACCTTCAGTATCTTCATCGCTATCATATTCATATTTAAATTTTCCAGCTCTCTGTAAACTTTCTAATTGCTGACGTTTTTTTAACATATCTTGATATAACAAATTAATCTGTAATAATAATTAGAAATAAAATAATATCCATACCTGTATGTGATATAAATTATCTATTTTAGTATTACTTTATAATGATCTTCTGCTTTTTTCCAATCTTCTTCAGATAAATTTATTGTTCCAAATGATTGCATGGCATACTGTATTAAAGCAGGATCATTTCGTCCAACTTGACTGATCATGGGTCCAGACATACCAGGCACACCGACTAATTAAAAAAAAATAGTTAGTAATTACTTATTGGAAAAAGAAAAGGTAAAATATTGAACAGTATTTAATTACCAAGTTTTTGAGCATTAATTGGTTGGGGAATAGTTTGACCAATGGCAATAGGAAGAGTACCACCAATTGTTGAAGTAACTGGAACTTTAACATTATCATTTGCCCAACGACTTTTACGTTTACGTTTTTTATTAGTTACATCTTTACTATCAAAGTCTGTAGCTACTATTTGATTTGATAATTTTTGAGGTTTTATATCAGTTGGTGTTAATTTATTAGCTATCATTTTTGCTTTTAAGTATCCCACTCTTTGTCGAAAAATTGTATAGGCTGGAGAATTCTTGTCCCTCAGAAATCTACAATATTTAACAATAATTAAACATTTGATAGATACATTAACATTGATACATACAATAAATTAACATCTTGGGGTCGTTCTTGTAGTATGATATTTTCAATTTCATCACCATATTCAGCAACTGTAGCTGCCAAACTTTCGACATCATGATTGTCAAGGACTGCTTGTGGTTCACATCTCATCACTGTATTCAAAGCTAGACAACTCCGAATCAGCTTAATTTGCGATTAAAACGCAAACCCCCTTTCCCGAATTCCCACAAACAACCCAATTTACATAATAAATTATAAATGTATAGATATTTTTTTTATACAAAACTACAATTTTTCGTAACAGTACCTCTCGGAACCGGAGTGTAAGTTTCAATTGTCTGAGGTGTTGCGTTCAACATATGTGCTGCATCTGGAGTTGGTCCCAAGGACACGGTAGATGTTTCAGTTACTATAAGTGATGGTTGCTCATCAGCATTACGAGGTACAGTTGTTGTTGTTGTAGTATCCGTAACTATTGTAGCTGTCAGTGGAGGAGTTTGCAATGGATATTGTTGATAAGGACCATGAGGAATAGTCATCTGTAATATAATTTTAAGTTGGGTGTATAAAAATTATAATTATTTAAATACCACAGTATACTAGTTGTTAGTTTATTACTTTTGAATTATTTTGTGTTATAAATACTGGATTTTGTGCCTGATACATTGAAGTTGGTTGTGAAATTTGTAAAATTGGATGTGTGGTAACTATTGATACAGTAGGAACTTGAACCACAGTAGTCTGAGGTTGAGTTTGGATTGAAGTTACTTGAACAGATGGAGTGTTGTAAAAGTTGGGTGGTTGGTATGATTGATTAATATTATATCCAATAAAATGATGATCTGGAATAAAGGTTTCAGGTTCTTTATAAGCTTCTAGGCAATAATTCGACTCTAAAACATGATTAATACAAATTATTAAAGTAACTTTATATAAACTATTATTTAAATTTCTAAATTTTTACTTATGTACTATTAATAGTAATAAATAATATTAATACTATTAATACTATTTGTAATTTTAATATTTTAATTTTTTTAAATTTTTTATTAATTTGTCTACTCTTAACACGTTCACGACCGAGAGTAATACCGAGTGCTTTTTAAATAAACCACGCAATAACGGAAACTTGATATTTGTTAAAATAAGCGGTGAAAATCAATCCCATATAAAATGATATTCACCATGTTAGATATGTGTGACATAGTTTTTTTTAAAGAGACCCCATGTCACATATTTGTGATATGTGGCGGTGAACATGTTGAATAGGTGCTTATAACAAAAGTGTGGATTTAAATGCAAATTACATGTCTTAAAAATATAATTCATATTGTTTTTTCACAACTACAAATTATTTTCAAAGACAGTAGTACTAACTATTTATACTTAGCAAGATTATGATTGTTTACTGATAATGCAATATTTCTCGGTATATAATGTCATAAACCAGCTATTAAGTCAAACAACCATTTTCCTACTATTTTTTTCACATAATATATCACATTGTATATTCCCCGAGAAATACTTTTTAAATATTTTAATGACATTATTCAGATGTTATAAAATATTCTTATTTATACCTAATTTTGGTCCATGTTCAAGTTCTGGTTCAATACTATTTTCAAAATCTTTTGAATCTAAAATTATACAAATTCGGATGAATATATTAATAATAAAAACATAATTCATATACATATAATATAATATGAAGTACAAATCATAAGACCATTTTAAATATTTTTAAAGCATTTAAGAATAACATGAATAGGAAAAAAATAATTTGCGTAACTTACAATATAACATTTGTAACTATATTGTGATAAATTTTGAATGAAACTTTTTTTTTTTTTATCAAATTTATTTCAATTAAAAGTGAATTTGCCAAAGAGAAAATTGTGACACGATTACATGATTATATCTTGAAAAGGAAACAACAGATATCCACAATAATATTGTAATTATTAATTCTGGAATATTATTATGCAGTATACACAATTGGATGACAATCCTTTAAGATCATTTTTATCTACAATTTTGTAAGAATCCTGCCTAGGATGAAAATTATGGTATAACAAAAAAATAAAAATATATAAAGTCAAATTTTACCAGAAATGTTATCTTTCTCAAAAACATCGGCTAAACTAGGTTTATTCTTATGAGCTCCTGTTGACTCATATGGAAGTTCTTCATTAGAACCTTTTGCCGAAGTTTCATTCCTGTTAAACAGGAATACATAAATCAATAAATTAATTTGAAAAATATATTTATAAAACTAACACAACTATTATAAAATATTAACTTACTTTTTTGTACTCCTGGATTTTTGATAAAATGATTTAATTTTATCCAATTTTATTGCATTTTTAGTAATAACCAAAGGTTGTTGTGATTTATTTTCTCCTGTTAGTTCAGCAATTTTCTTTTTTTTTTCTTCAAACCTAGCTTGAATTTCACGTTTTTTCTGTTCAATTAATTGTTGTTGCTTTGACATTTCTTGAAAACGTTCACTTCGTGACTGTTTTGATGGAGTTGTTTCAGAAAACTTACCATTTCGAAACATTGTTATAGAATTTTCTTATATATACTATAATATACAGAATAAACTAATATCAGAATATGTGGATATGTTTACGGAACAATAATAAAGATTAACGCAGTGGTATATTTGGTCTAACTGGGGCCTAGGGGCATTGGCACAACTAGAGGGGGTTTAAAATGTACATATCCAGACGCGGACTGGTAAAAAAGGGCAAGGGATGCTACACAATTTAAAAGGCAAATAACAAAAATTGTTAGGGCAAATTTAAGACATGTACCTACCAACCTAGATAATTTATAAAATATAAATATATTTTATATTGTTTTGAAAAAATATTAAATATTGAATATACGTTAAAAACATAAATGATTACCAAGTTACAACAAACTTTCAATAAAAATTTTACAATATCATAGATCACTAATAATCTTAAGTTGGTAATAACGATCTGCTGTTCATTAGGGATCTAGAGTCTTTAAATATATAGTAAATAATATTAATTATGAAATATATTTTGGGGCAAGGGATGCTGTAGCATCCCAGCATCCCAGCCAGTCCGCGCCTGTACATATCCATGAATAATTTTAATGGTATAAACATTTATCTAAGTCAATTAGTTTATTTTTTAGAACATTTTAAAATATCAATATTTTTTTGAGTAAATTAATTTAGAACATAATAACTTTTTTCACAATTCTTGTAATATGTTTGAGTAGCGTCTTTTTTTTTTTTTGTCAGATCTTCCTGTTATAACCTGTATATACAGTATTAAGGGTCTGGAGGTCTGGGAATTCTTTAAAATGTGCGCACCCCCAAAAATATAGGTCTAGCTGAGCTTATGCCCAGGGGCCACAGCCTTTACCAACCCAAATTTTAAGATCATTTTAAATTGCATTTAGTGTTTTGTGAACTTATCATGTTAGACATAACCATGTATTAAAATTATTATTTGTGTTATGGTTGCTGCAAGACTAGAATGTTATCTCCACTACAACAGCATACCTTCCAAATTTATGAAGAATCCATCATCCAAGTTAAACTCAATATAAATAACGAATTATTACCCCTCTCCCGCCACACAAATACACGTACCATCATCAAAAACAAAATACTAGAAACGCCACTGGGTAAACAATTAGTATAAATATAACATTAATTGTATGTTTGTATTTAAGTATAATTAAATGCACTTACACAATGAATAATAATTTTGTTATGTCTTAAACTAGAAAGTAGAAATTTGTGTTTAGAAAGAGTATTGAGAGTCAAATCACATAATAAAAGTAAAATAATAAAATTGTATCTAAAGTATTGTATAAATGTTTGAATTTATGTCAACACACAAAATTATAGTTTCAAAACAAACAATTAAATATTAATAAAGAACAAACGCATTACTGAACAATGGTTACATTGCCTAAATCATAAAACATAGTTGTCAGAGTTCTGAAATGACTGAAATATAGAAAACTGAAAAGTGAAAACAATGAGATAGGTACGAAAGTCTTTTGATATAATTTGTTATCACTTATCAGTATACGAAAAGTAGACAACGGGGCACTGATAAGACAAATAATAAAAGTAAAATTTCATCAGATATCGAATATTAAATAATATTCAGACCACAGAATAAATTTAATCTATTCTGTGTTCAGAGTTTCATACCACGAAGTATATCTTAATTCGTGATTCAGACATTCAATATTTCACTCATAGAATCTTAACGAAATTATCAATATCTTAATGTATATATTAAGATAATGAATGCTATTTCAAAACAAAAATATAAAATATAAATATTTTTACAGTTGATGGATTATAAAGGTAAAAGGTTTATTTTTGATTAAACTATTATAAGTAAAAATAAAAAATAAAAATATCTGATTAAATTTATTATTTCTATTTTCAGATAAAATAATGCGTAGATCTAACGGAGGAAATTATTATGATCCACTACCTTCAAACAGTTCATATGGTGGCGAGTTTATTGAAACAGAAAATGATGATTTAACGGAACAGCTAAAAGATAAGGTGAATACTTTGAAGTCTCTCTCGATTGATATTGGTGCAGAAGTAAAATACCAAGACCGCTTACTAAGAGATATGGATCATGATTTTGAAACCACTGGAGGATTTTTGAGTAACACACTTGGTCGAGTTACGAGGCTTAGTAGAAATAGTGGTGGCTACAATATGTTATATCTAATTTTATTTAGTTTTGCAGTTTTTTTTGTACTGTATATATTTTTAAAACTGAAATAGAAATCTGTAATGTATAATATATATTTTATTATTACTAACCGATGGGATCGGTAAAGAAAATTCCATGTTATTGAAGTATATAATGATAAAATGATTTAAATTGTACGTATATTTTATTAAATAAATTTCAGATTTTACTTTTTATATTTTTGTTATGGGTGATTAAAGATTTTATTTATAAAAAAAAACTGATTAATATACTGTTACCTATAAATTGTTTAATTATTAGTGATAGTTATAATCAATGTAAAATTACTCATCATTTTATTCAAAAATCAAAATTAAACATCTTTTAGTCAAGTATTTAAAACTTGTCTAATGTTAATAATTGTGAATACATACTATATGGTCATATACTCGTATTACAGAACCATAATTGATTGTTTTATTTTAGCTACAGGCGAGACTTAAAATTATTATAGTTCTTCTAATATAATATTGCGCAATTAAAGATAAGTAATTGTTCAATGTAAAATAGAACACCATTTTATAATAATTTAAATACATTACAGTATATTTTAAAGTGATTAAATTTTTTTTTTTTATTAAAATAGAAAAACCTACCATTATGATGGTAGGTTTTTCTTAATTAGGTTTTTTTTTAATTAAGTAAATTGTAAATGTGATATACAACCGCATTCTTTACTTATTACATTTTTATAGTAAAATGCCATAGACAAACTATTATAGTTTAAAGGTCTATGTATAATGCACTGTCTTGGGAGAATAATAGGAAGGTTTATAGATAAAAACTAATATGTCGTATTAATCAGGTACTAATTAATAATTCTATAGTGGTAAAATCAGAGATATATTCAATACTATAACCTATATAGACTACCATAATCAGAAAAACCCACAAATTTATTAGCTTTTTTGTCCCAAATGATTTGTTTTTTGATAGCCATTCCATCTAAAACTAAATTAGTCTTTATAATCGTTTGGTAATTGTTCAAGACAGGCCAACACTTCTTTCAAAAATCCAGGTTCTCCGTTAACAGAGGATGTCCAGTTTCTAATGGCTGATACATGTGGTAAACTCAAGATGGACCTAAATGAATACAATATAAATATAGTCAAATACAAAAATAGTTTACATTTTTGTAATGCATCATAAAATTCTATAAGCAAGCAAAAATCTAACCGACAAAATGCATAAGCCTTGGGTGAATAATAGTGCAGAGTAAGTGCAAACTCTTTAATGTCTGTGCTATAGCGGCGGCCTTTAGGTTTGCGTCCAATATTTTTTAATTCATGCTTAAAAATTTCAGCTGACATTCCACCAAATTTATCAAGCATAATATCTTCATACTCTGCTGATAACATACCTTGATTTCTTATATTTTTCAAAAGGTCTTTTAATGATTTAATGGTTTTATTTTGCCTTCGAACTTTTTGTTGTAATAATTTAATTTTCCTTCTGTACCTGGTTGGAGTTCTTTGAGGAGATGGTAAAGTTAATTGATTAAAACTACGTTTGGATGGTGTTATAATTAGTGGTAATTTTACTGGAGTTAATAAACAGGAATCATTTAAGACCTCAACGTCATCTGGGGCACATCTAGCACTAAGATTTATTGGTAAATCTTCACTTGATACACCTATAAATATAACAAACAATTTACCTATTAATTGTTGGGTAACTTATAAATTAAATTGTAGGTATTACATTTTTTTTTTTTTTGTGGTTCGTTTGAAAAGAGTTTAGTAGGCAATAATTTGGAGTGAACTGATGGTTCAAAAACTGATGGTATAGCATTATTTTTCAAAGTTAATTTGTAACTTCCTCCTGGATTATCATAAAAGTCTGATCGTTCAAAATGACCACTACATAAGCGACTTCCAGCATTTGGCACAAATCCTATGCGACCAATAGCGTTTAACCAACCTTTTAATCTTTCGGCATCACTTAGAGGAAATCTAAAAAAATGTATATTTGACCCCGATTTTGCTCTATTTGTACAGCGATGAGCTGAACAGGTAGTCGGCATATTTAATTAAGTACCTACTTAAAAATCACATAAAACAATTTGTTTTATGAAAAATGAAAATTATATTAGGTAGCAATAATTGACTGTACACAATACACAGATTTATACAATAAATTATTGATATAATATCTGTACAATAATATGATGATAAATTCGAATTGATAAAGTGATAACAAACAAAAAAAAAACGGTATAACCAAACATTTAAATAAATTTTCATTTTTTTTTCTCCAATTATTTTTAAAAGCACTGAGAATTTTCAATTTCGACCCCCTAAAAGTACCAACTAGATCCAATTTGCTTCCAAAAACATACACTGGGCATCGAAGCTTATGATCAGAGCATTTTTTCTACCAGAAAGTTGATTAGTAACAAAAATTTTAAAATACCTCAAATAAACGTCTGAACTTATTAGACTGGACAAAATAAAAATGTAACTAATTTTCAAGCCCCCCCCCCCCATTGAAAAATCCTGCGAACGCCACTGGTTAGTAGGAAATTTACTGTATGCATGTACATCAGAAATTAAGCCCGTTGTTCTGGCGATTTTATTACTATTAATTAAAATTACCAGACATCTTAGATGTCTTGATTTTGGAGAAAATATAAATACCTAAACCTCCTAATTATGTTTCAAAATATGCAATTATAATTTATAGTCACTGTAGTAATAATGTGTTAAATACAATTGTTGCCAGGTATTGCTCTTTCCGGGTGTTGCTCAGTATTTTAGACTTACCATACTCATGTGGGTATTCATATAATGCATGTCCACCTTGTCATGTTATAACAATATTTACGTAACTGTTATTTTTGTTGAAAATCAATGCAAAAGATGTACAGTTCATTATTCATAAATAACTTTAATTTTAACAAAATAACTAAGTTAAGTTCCAATTATTTATAAAATAAGTTTGTTACTAACTTAGTTATTTTCTAATAATCTATTTTATTTTAACTAGTTAAGTTAAAGTTTATCAACAAAAATATCTATTTCACTAGTTACGGCTCCTTGCAAAAATATTACTATATATTTTATAGTTCTTCTGTAAACTTTGTAATACAAAAGTAAAAAATATTTTAGGATTTTATCTTTTAGTAATTTATACAACAGTAGTGTAAAAATGTTCAAATTCCTTGAAATTTGAAAAGACTGTGAGCAATTAATTTTCTTTACAATGTAAAAATATTAGTACCTAAAAATAAACAAAATAATAATATAATATTCTGTATGTAATAGAATGTAGTTATAGAGTGCTGAGTGGCGACACAAGGGTACTTGATATCTACGATCTACGGTATTATAATAAGTCATCTACTTCATGAACATCAAATTAATTAAGAGGACGACACCTATGCATTTGTTGCCTCTGTGTTACACACATTCTACATGCAAAATTTCCGTTCAATAGTATTTTGTTAGTTTTGATATTAGAATAACTTGACGTAGGGTGTTTCAAATTTTGATAATGGTATCTGGTATTTGTTTATTACCGATATTTTTGGTTTTTTAATTTTAATTTTAATTATTTATTTTACCATTTCAGGGTTCACCGGTACAGGTACTCCTTCGGGTAAATATTCAACTTCCATATTTTCATCAAATGTACTGTATTCATTAGGTGCATCTCTCAGGTATAACAACTCATCATCAAGACGTTTCGCTAAGCGTAAAACATCAATCTTTTGTATAGTCGAATCATAAAGTTGATATTTCATTTCCGTACCTATATTTTAAATAATTTAAACTTTCATTAATATAATCCAAAACATACCACATTTATATGTATTCACTTACCAATATGCTTAATAACGTTTCTAAGGGTAAAATTAGCTCTGAGGCCACATCCTAAACGTTGAATGCATACACCTACAAAACGAGTAGCTTTATTGGGAGCATGCTGATTAGATGATGAAACAGCCATGATGGACCCAAAGTCAAAAATTTTAAAATTTTAAATATTATATGAATGTATAGCACATATACATAAATTGGATATTTTAGTAATAACTAATAAATAGTGGCATGTTAATTTTGACGCAGCTGCATCAACTTTTCAGAGGGGTAGAGACAGTGGTGTCAAAGTCTACACTAAAGTTTAGCCTTATTTTTATTACTTCATAGCTTTGATATAAATAAATATTGTATTTTTGAGGGGTGGTAGTGGTGATGAACAATTAAATATGAAATTTTTTATTTGTTTATTAATTAATTTACAGAATAAGATTCCTTATTTAGTACAGTACACTAGAATAATAAATTGAATTACATATTTTAAGAGTCTAAATGTTAGGTTACTACACCATTGACAATTCTGGTACATAAATTAGATGAGATATAATAATAAGATAAAAAAATAAATAAATATAAATAAGATATAATAATCAGTCTGGCCATCTGCACCACATACTCAGGGTGAGTTGCTGAACCTCACTGGTAGTTTGACTGGGTTGTTCTTTGGTCAGGTGATGCATCTGTTTTTTCCTCTGTCCTTCCTTGGGGAGACTGGGCTTGACTTGGTCCCAGCCAGATTGGTAATGTATGCGATATGTGGCCTTGGGTAAGGAGTTGTTGGGCTGGTGCCTCAATTGTTAATGTGGCTCTACAAATATTTGTATGTTTCTTTCTTCTGCAGCTAGTTCTGTGAATTGTGCCAAAGTAGTCTCTGCAAATTGTGTTGTGGCAGGTTCTACAAACGTTTGTAAGGCTGATTCAGCGGATTTTTTTAGGGCTGCTTCTTCAAGTCTGCAGTTTATGTTGTATGTGGTTCTGCGAATTTTGATGAAGTTGTTTCTGAAAATTTTTGTAAATGATCTATTATTGCGTTGTAAGTTTGTTTATCGGTGGGTTGTACAATGAGGTATGATGGGGTTGACTTACAGGTAAAACCATTTGGTCCGGTGATATTTTTTAGAACGGTGTTGAATGCTGAGAAGTTGGATATGTTTTCTATGTGGATAGGAGAGGCCCCGGCTTAACGTTGTGAACTTTGTGAGGTGGTCTGTCCAGATCTTTCGTGATGGTAGTTGAAGGTGTGGTGAAAACTTTGTCTTCGTCGGTGCTAAGTACGGCGTAGCGGTTTGGGGTGACAAAACTTTTGTGATTTTGTCGATTTGACTGAGCAAACTGTTTCGCTTTGTTGTTTTAGGTATATGCGACATGATAATGATGTAATGACAAGTTATATAATAGCGATATGATAATGGAGCGTTAAACACAAACTGCAGACCCAGATACAGATAAACTTGAAGAAGCAGACCTAAAAAAATCTGCTGAATCGGCCATACAAACATTTGTAGAACCTGCCACAACACAATTTGCAGAGCCTACTTTGGCACAGTTCACAGAATTAGATGCAGAAAAAAGAGACATACAAATATTTGTAGAGACACATTACAATTGTGGCACTAGCCCAACAAGCCCTTAACCAAGGCCACATAAGGCAAACCAAGCCAAGACCAGTCTCCCCAAGGAAGGACAGAGAAAAAAACAGATGCATCACCTGACCAAAGAACAACTCCCGAGTGGCCGCCCAGTCAAACTACCAGTGAGGGTAGACGGAGGAGACGTCAGACGGCGGAGAATTGCTAAACGACCTGCATACCCGGAGCACTGTAAAGAAAATTATTATTAATCTTAGGTATTCAAAAAATGTTCAAAATTTAGTAATATTACTGGGTGCGAATCCACACTGAAATCTGTGAAAGTTTTCAGCAACATACTGAACAACGTTTTTCCAAACGCTTCAAGCAGCCATGTTACAAAATATTACAATTTACAGTGATTTGTAGGCGAATCGATGTAAAATATAGGACGCCTCGACCGACGCTCATGGAAATTATAAACTACTTCGGAGAATGTTTGTTGTCAGAAAAATTATATGGTAGCCCAGCGGTTAGATTTTAGGGTTATACGACTACAAGGGTGTTGCCAACCTTTGACCATCACTAAATAATTTTAGTGAAACGAAGACCACGTGAATAATGATTAATGAATATTATGTATTTCTGTAATTATTTAGGGGTAGGCAAGAAAGTACAAAATGCTACTAATTACTAAACTACAAAGTATTAGGTTTATTAGTACATTTATTTAACAAAAAAAAAAAAAACTTGATAAGTTTAAAGTAAAAATAGAAAATAAAATTAACTGAACTCAGTTAAAAAGCCCTAGCTGCATCAACTTTTTAAAGGGGTAGAGACAGTGGCGTCAAAGTCTACACTAAAGTTCAGCCTTATTTTGATTACTTCATAGCTTTCTTTGTTATATAAATATTGTATTTTTGCGGGGTGGTAGTGGTGATGAACAATTAAAATATGAAATTGTTTATTTGTTTATTTATTAATTAATTTACGGAATAAGATTCCTTATTTAGTACAGTACACAAAAATACAGAAATTTAACATAATTAACATATACAAGGGGCGATGGCCCAAAAATAGAGCAAAATTACAGGTACAATAAATAAAATTATAATAATTGTGTCATTTAAAAGTTAAGTCTGCAAGACTACTGGTAATTAGTTAGAAAATAAAAATTACCTAATCAAAATCTTATCATTACTAAATAAATATTTAATACCTATAGGCTATATTTCAAATGTGTTGTAGAGATATCTTGTTATAATGAATATGGTTAACTTTATTGAGTTTTTAATATAAATGAAAATACACTTAACAGAAACAGTCACAAGGTATTACACAAATTGAATTACATATTTTAAGAGTCTAAATGTTAGGTTAGGTTACACCATTGACAATCCTGGTACATAAATTAGATGAGATATAATAATAAGATAAAAAAATAAATAAATATAAATAAGATATAATAATCAGTCACGCCATCTGAGTTTCTTAACCTCACTGGTAGTATGACTGGGCGGCCACTCGGGAGTTGTTCTTTGGTCAGGTGATGCATCTGTTTTTTTCTCTGTCCTTCCTTGGGGAGACTGGTCTTTTTCTTAGCCAGATTGATAACGTCTGTGATATGTGGCCTCGGTTAAGGGGTTGTTGTGCTGGTGCCACAATTGTTAATGTGGCTCTAGAAATATTTGTATGTCTGATTCTTCTACAGCTAGTTCTGCGAATTTTGCCAAAGTAGGCTCTGCAAATTGTGTTGTGGCAGGTTCTACAAATGTTTGTATGGCTGATTCAACAGATTTTTTTAGGGCTGTTTCTTCAAGTTTATCTGTAGATAGGTCTGCAGTTTGTGTTGTATGTGGTTCTGCAAATTGTGCTGAATCTGTTTCTGCAAATTTTTGTATGTCCGTCTTTTCTACGGCTAATTTTGCGAATTGCGGTGAAGATAACCCTGCAAATTGTGTTTTGACAGTTTCTGGATATTTTAGTATGTCTACTACTTGCACGGTTAGGTTTCTTAATTTTGTGGAAGTAAGCATTACAAAATTTGCTGTAGCTGCTTCTACAAATTTTGCTGTAGCTGGTTCTACAAACGTTGCTGTAGCTAGTTCTGCAAATTGTGTTGTGGCAGGTTCTACAAATGTTTGTATCGCTGATTCAGCAGATTTTTTTAGGGCTGCTTCTTCTAGTCTGCAGTTTGTGTTGTATGTGGTTCTGCGAATTTTGATGAATTTGTTTCTGAAAATTTTTGTAAATGATCTATTATTGCGTTGTAAGTTTGTTTATCGGTGGGTTGTACAATGAGGTATGACGGGGTTGACTTACAGGTAAAACCATTTTATCCGGTGGATAGGAGAGGCCCCGGCTTAGCGTTGTGAACTTTGTTAGGTGGTCTGTCCGGATCTTTCGTGATGGTAGTTGAAGGTGTGGTGAGTATTTTGTCTTCGTCGGTGTTAAGTACGGCGTAGCGGTTCTGGGTGACAAAACTTTTGTGATTTTGTCGATTTGAATGGTTTCGCTTCGTTGTTTTAGGTATATGCGACATGATAATGATGTAATGACAAGTTTTATAATAGCGATATGATAATGGAGCCCTAAAAAAATCTGCTGAATCAGCCATACAAACATTTATAGAACCTGCCACAACACAATTTGCAGAACTAGCTACAGCAACGTTTGTAGAACCAGCTACAGCAAAATTTGTAGAAGAAGCTTCAGCAAATTTTGTAATGCCAGCTTCCACAAAATTAAAAAACCTAATCGTGCAAGTAGTAGACATACTAAAATATCCAGAAACTGTCAAAACACAATTTGCAGGGTTATCTTCACCTCAATTCGCAAAATTAGCCGTAGAAAAGACGGACATACAAAAATTTGCAGAAACAGATTCAGCACAATTTGCAAAACCAGATACAACACAAACTGCAGACCTAGCTACAGATAAACTTGAAGAAACAGCCCTAAAAAAATCTGTTGAATCAGCCATACAAACATTTGTAGAACCTGCCACAACACAATTTGCAGAGCCTACTTTGGCAAAATTCGCAGAACTAGCTGTAGAAGAATCAGACATACAAATATTTGTAGAGCCACATTAACAATTGTGGCACTAGCCCAACAACCCCTTAACAGGGGCCACATACCGCAGACGTTAACAATCTGGCTAGGACCCCCAGTCTCCCCAATGAAGGACAGAGAAAAAAACAGATGCATCACCTGACCAAAGAACAACTCCCGAGTGGCCGCCCAGTCAAACTACCAGTGAGGATAGACGGAGAATTGCTAAACGACCTGCATACCCGGAGCACTGTAAAGAAAATTATTATTAATCTTAGGTATTCAAAAAACGTTCAAAATGTAGTTATATTACCGGGTGCGAATCCACACTGAAATCTGTGAAAGTTTAACGTTTTCAGCAACATATTGAACAACGTTCTTCCAAACGCTTCACGCAGCCATGTTACAAATTACAATTTACAATGATTTGTAGGCGAATCGATGTAAAATAAAAGACGCCTCGACCGACGCTCAGGGAAATTATAAACTACTTCGGAGAATGTTTGTTGTCAGAAAAATTATATGGTAGCCCGGCGGTTAGATTTTAAGGTTATACGACTACAAGGGTGTTGCCAACCTTTGACCATCACTAAATAATTTTAGTGAAACGAAGACCACGACCACGTGATGTGAATAATGATTAATGAATATTATGTTTTATGTATTTCTGTAATTATGTAGGGGTAGGTAAGTAAGTACAAAATGCTACTAATTACTAAACTACAAAGTATTAGGTTTATTAGTACAATTATTTAACAAAAAAAAAAAAACTTGATAAGTTTAAAGAAAAAATAGAAAATAAAATTAACTTAACTCGGTTAGGTCTTATGCCCTAGTATTTTGTTGTACACAAACATTTACCAAGACTTTTGACACTGTGTAAAAATATAATTTGAAAATTAATTAGCAAAATCGAAAAAGTGTCAACGAATCAGTTTTGTCAAATGATTATGCAATATGCATGACACAAAAATAAAATTAACTTAACTGCATGACAATGATTAACTCTCAACTGTCATTAACTGACAATGAATTAACTAGTTAAAAAATTAAAAAAGATTAACATTTTAACTTAACTTTAACTTTTTAACAAGTTAATGCCCCCCTTTGTTATTTTGGTTGAGTATAATTAAATTAGAATATATAATATATAAACCAAGTATTGAAACAGTTATTGTATATAGGTATGTGATGGTTATTTTAAAGTTACCTAACAATTGCTTCTACATATAAAGATCGTGCTGAGTATGGCCGAGCAATTTGTTGAACACATCGATTTCCAAATTCCAATTGAACTGCGGAGTTCCCTCATTTCTGTATCTGATGGTCGCACGTCATGGTCATGTAACCTCCGCAGTTGAAAATGTTTATTATTTTCATCAGAAGAAATTGAACCAGTGGCTGGGCATCTCTCTTTACATTTTAAGTACCTAAATTAAAAGAAATAATTTATTAATTTAACTCTGAATTTCAAATGATAACGCAAAATAGTCTTATTAATATTTTTTAAGGGGCCTGCACGCGACCTGTTTTTTTGCTCAAAAACATGCCTTACAGGAAAAACTCTCACGCCTCGTAGATTGGTCCGATTTCCGTAATTTTTTTTTTGTTAGATAGAGGAAGACTTCTTACAGGGCGCATTGGACTTGGATTTTCAACATTATTTTTCTAAGTCTTATGTTACAAGTTTGAATTTATTCAATTTTTTCAACTTTTTAGTTTTTGTATTATTTTTTGTTTTTAGCGACGTAATCAAAAATCGAAGTCCAATGCGCCCTGTAAAAAATATTCCTCTATCTAACAAAAAAAAAATTACGGAAATCGGACCAATCTACGAGGTGTGAGAGTTTTTCCTGTAAACTGTGTTTTGACCGATATAATACACCCTATCAACCCCCCCTAAATAGGTATTGGGTAGTAGATTAGTGGAAAAGTCTTATAATTGAGGTGGCAACTAAAATATAAAATTTAATTTTCAAATTTTATAGAATTGCGGAAAATTTGAAAAATCGCGAGCTGGCCCCTTAAGACTTACACTTTGTCTTCTAATCTTTTACTTTTAAAGTAAAGAAACCCTAGGTCGTCTTTAATAATATGTTCATGTTGATGAACACCTGGTATCAAACTATATGAATGTAGCCGTTCACCTACTGGCCAAAACTGAACATTGTCTGTAAAAAAACAAATTTTTTTTCTATAATTGAACATGACCTTTTATGATATTTTTTTAAACAGTGTACCATCAGTCGCTTCAACTTCAATCACTTCATGTTGCACTATATATTAAATGGAAAATATAATTAGTAAAATTACTCAAATTATTAAAAATATTTAGTCATTAATTACTAATCAATTATTTATTTATTTTAATTTAAAAATATAGTTAACCATGTTAGTAGTTAAATACTGAAATACATAGTTACATTAAAATATATCGATTTATTATAAAAATAATATAGAATAGGAGTGTAGAATTTACCTTGTAAATAATCGTGATCCAAAAGCTCGTCAACGCCGTTAAAAGCCATGCTTTATACAAACAATTTTTAAATGACTGTCAATAGAATATTTAACAACACTTATTCTTTTCAGTGACTTTCAGCAGACTAAATCTTGTTTACTCAAATAATTATACCACTATTTATATTTCATGATAAACTATGAAAAGGTCACTATGATTCTCATAAGGAATTTCCAGTAATAAAAATTTATTTTACTCTATATTGTACCACAAGTTATTCACTAGATATAACTAGATATAAGATATAACTTTTGGTATAATATAGAGTAAAATAAACTTTTATTACTGGAAATTCCCCATGTAGAAATCATAGTAACCTTTTCATATACCTAGTTTATCATAAAATATAACTATAGTGGTATAATTATTAAATACAATATTCCATAAATAAAAAAAAATAAAGGTGGGCAAGTGGGTTTTCACTCTGCTGTACAGTAGGTTATAAGTGAGGCACTGTAATGGATGGTGTTAAATTTTAATTATCTAAATTAACTATTATAATTAATAATATGTTAGTCAATTAAGTTGAATTATTATAATTTTTATAATTATAATAGAAAAACAATTCTGAGCGAAGACTGAATTCTAAATACCAAGTATATGTATAATATGTTGATATTATTGTGAATAAAGTAATTTATATATAAACTATTTACATAGAACCTTTGTTTAAATTTTCAAACCTTAGCTATAAAAGTTTAAAATGTTATACATTTTTAACTACAAAATAATTCTGTGGCTTGGTGCAAGAAGGGCCAATGTCAAATTTTGACAATGTTCAGGAATTAGAATATTAAATTTTTGTTTGATGTGGTTTTAGTGTTTTACATTATATTTTACTAGTCGCTACCAAACTCAACGTTCACCACACGGTAATCGGAAAAAAAATCCCCGGTAAATAAAATCCCTAGAAAAAAAATCCCCAAAGCAACTATTTAAAAAAGTACATAATTATAATAATATACCTAATTAGTATATTACAGTATATTAGTTAGGAAAAAAAAAATAATATAATATTAGTTAGTTAATTAATAATAAAATAAATGTACATAATTATAGTCAGATTCGGTTCAGTCGGTTCGTTTTCTTATATTGTTAGACACAGCTGTCAAAAAGTCTCCAATGCTTAATTGAAGATATTTATTGTTTGATTTTTTCCTCTTTTTGTACGTCTTGGTTCACCTAAAGCATCCAATGCTAACTGTGCTCGATCGGCGTCAATTTCATTTTTAATTTTCCTAATAAGTTTCCATATTGTAGGATGTTTTTGACCAACTAGTTTGGAAAACCTATTATTCCACCCTTCAACGATGTTGTTGGTTCTGTGGTAGTCATTGAGGGTGGTTTTATTTACATTCCACACAGCTGGTGGCAGTTTTCGGCAGAATGATTGTGTTCATCATGGATCTCCCTTGGATTACTATTTTGAAGAGTGATGTTTTTAAAATAGCTAAACATTTAAATGAACCATATTTTGCACACCTCCATCTCTTGAAAAACTTACAGTCTTTTTGGTGTACATAAGTATAACCATTTAAGCAAATTTTATAGTTCCCTTGATTAGATTTAACCGAGGATTTAACGTTTCCATAGCCGGACAATATTACGGCCTCCCTCGCACAGTCACACAAATCAAAGTTACTTAATCGGAACTGAAGATGTACTAACCGTAACCGTTATAATAACGTATAGATACCAAATATTACGTGTAAATAATTATTTTATAACTTGTATTTTCCCAATTTTACATTTTATTGCTCTATGCCAAGGCCCACCCAACTAGCGGCCCGCGAAGCTTTTTTATCTGTAAAATGCTTTCTTATTGCACACTAAATTTGTAGTACGAATGTACCGTGTAAATTGCAAGCCTCGATCTATCATTGTTCAGGCTCAACGTTTATCAGTCAGTGTCCAGTTAATTAGTCAAGTTATATATTATAGTATTTATTTAGTATTATAGTCATTCCGCTTTTAAATAGTTGCCTTGGGGATTTTTTTTCGGGGATTCCAGCACACGGTTGTAGAAAACTTTGGCCACTTTATCTGTGATTTTAGCAATGGGCTTAGGGCTTGGGATTCTTGTCTATGGCAGTGGGCAGAGAAGGATGCATAGAAAAAATATAAAAAAATGATATTTTGATTTTAAAATGATATTTTGCTAGAGCAATGGCCAATGACACGGCTATAGATACTAGCGCGAGTAGCGCTGAGCTTGGACAAAAAAATCGAAAATATCCCTTGTCTTGATATTATGCAACACCACCACAACCCTCAAGTTGGTCACTGAGTAGTGAGTACTGAGCACGATTTAACTCATTTAAGATTTTAAATCGTGGTACCGAGTAACCGTCGTATTGCCGTAAAACTGTAAAAGTAATTAGTAACACCCACGGACTAAGATATAATATAATGGACTGGAAACGAGCAGCTTATCATGGCCACGAATGTATGTACAAGAGACAAAGTGCGGGGGGTCGCTATCTGTTCTTGGAGTTCACAGCGCCCTCTGTATTTAACACGGACTAAGATACAAATTGTGTAGCCAAATAAAACCACCGGTAGCGCTGAAAACTTCAAGAACAGTATTCTTATCAGCTAAGTGACATCTTTTCATGGCCGTCCCCCGATCCCCGCCGACCATGTCGTTTCCAGTCCATTATATCTTAGTCCGTGGTAACACCGAATAATTTATTCATTTTTCGGACAAGTTGACACTTGTTATCACTCCCATGAGCAGCAAGATTTAAGATAGTACCACAGATTATATGAAAACAGATTGTGCACTTCCTATGCTGCAATGTAAAAAATGAATACGGTGCTGTGATTGGTCTCCGCCCAAATCAGTGTGATCACAAATACCAATGCTAAATTATTGAACATACATACATACCATATTATAGAAATTTGATTTTGCTTAGTAAACTTTTCAATTTCAACTCAATACTCAAAATATTATACTTGGGTAAAAGTAATATAGAAATAAAATATGCAAATTGTTATTTACAAACAAATATTTATTTAAATTTTTCACAATTTCAAACAATATAATATTAACAATTAAAATTAAATACATATTATACATTTATTATAAACATACAGAATTCATGGAGTACAAAATGTTTATACAATTACCTAGATTACTTATTAATACTAAATACTTTCTAATTTATTCATAAATGATTTAGTATACATAATTTTCTATTTTTTTTTATTTTTTCTGATATTAAATTCCTATTTAAAAATTTAATTGCAGCATGAATTCTAAATCTAATAAAATAATTAATTAAATAATCTTTACTAAAAAGAGGACATGGATGACTAAATACAACATTAATCATGCTTAATTTTAACTTAATACCTACTTCTTTGTTAATAGCTATGTGTGGAAATCTATTTATAAATATATTTTCCAATTCATCAATATAATTATAAAATGCATGTTGTGGCATCATTAAGTTGCCAAACATTGTTTTTTCTGCATTCTCATATGCTTTGAAATAGCAAAGTAAAAAGGACTCATCCAATTTGTTTTGTGATTTTGCATATTGAATACAAATATCACAAGAGTGTTTTTCAATGCATTTCTTCATTAGAAATCCACAAACATATATGAAAGCATTTTTTTCTGGCATCGATAAATTCCTATAATCTGGGGTGTCTATTGCAAGTATATTTTTTTTAAATTGAAATGGATTTTTATCATGAAATATAATTTTTATGTTTTCGTCATTTAAGGGATCTGTATTAATTTTAGATAAAATTTCATCCAAGTCTCCTATGCAATTTGCATTGTCAGAGTGGGTGAAATAATTGAGACAAAAATTTTGTTTATATGACCAGATAAATTGTATTGGGGTTGGATTAATATTATTTCCGTTATGTTGGGTACGAAACGTGCCAAATAAATTTTCCAACCTATCTTGATTGATTCGACTTGTATACAGTACATAACTCTCATCAGTATTGGTAACTTTTAATGATTCCCACAATTGAAATAAACCAGAGATTGAAATTAACCAACCTCTAATAAATTTCATTTGGTTTGTCACTTCAACATTTGTTTTTTTGTTAAATACTTGTAATGTTTTAAAAAAGTTTTCCATAAATTTTAAATGTGAAATTTGCGAATCAGTATTTTTAAAAGGTCTATTAAATTGTTTTAAGCCAGGTCGTCTAGAAGAATTAAATATGTCAAAAAGTTTATCCATATTTTGAATAAAGTTGATTGTAGGCAATGAAGTATCAGGTAAGTGGCTCGAGTTTAAGAAAAGTAGCATTCCAGCTGAGACACTCTCACTAAACACCTGTGCTGCTAAATATACGCGAATTTTTTCAAAAGGCCCAGGAAATATATGAGAGTATGTAATTTTAGGAGCAGCGCGAAGATTATTTTTACTATCTTCATTATAGAATGAAACCAAATGTTTTTTTTCAATTAATTCATTATCATACTTAAAATTATGTTGATAAAACATATTTCTGGTGGCTTTTAAAAGATGTGGTGGATCAAATATATACACTATATTTTTATTATTAATTTCAAAATATGGCCGCTCAGGACTAACTTGAAGTTTATTTGAGAGGCCTATGAAATTGGAACCCATATCACTAACAAATGCTTTAACATTAATTTTAATATTTTCTAGTTTAAAAATACTGGTTAAAATTATGTCCTGCAAATCAAAACCTGTACAACTGTTTGATATAAAAAAATAAGCAATCGGTTGCTTCCAATTGAAATTTATGCCTTGAACCAACAAGACAAGTACAAACTTTGCTGGATCATACGTTTTACGATTGTTTGTTTCATTAAACCCTATTATTTCATCCTTACTTATGTTATAAAACAAATTACTTTTTATTGCCATTTCATCTGCGCACAACACACATTCTAATGATTCAGGTGAAAAATGTTGTGTTTTAAATTGTAAAAAATTAAATAATGAATCATTAAGACCAGGATTTATTTCATAATGTTTTGTTATGCGTCTTAGTGTACATGGATTAGGCAGAGCAAGAGTTGATTGCAAAAATCTATATACCTTTGGTCCCAAAAAATAAATTGTTAGAGCTAACTGTTTAAATTCATTGGAATACCTATACCCAGTTGCTTTTGTATTTCTACGATTAATATGTGTACTTATAATTAAAAATAAACCAGGAGGTAAAAATTGCTTAGTTAAAGTTAACATTTGTTCAACAGTATTAACATTTGCTAATTGTTGAGTTATGGCATTAATTTGTTTTTTCATATCTTTAATTTCTTTATTTTTGGACTGAAGTTCATTATATAGTTTTAATTTTCTTGGAGTTTTGTTAGTGAGATAAAGTGGAGTATGGCAAGATGAATCACTAGTAGACACTTGTAGCTTACTAGAAATGGAAGAGGAACCAGATACGTCACTGACATTGGTATATGCATTATCATTGTAAGTTAATGAGTGTGGTGGAGTAGAACATGACGATTCACGCATTTGCTTTTCTTCTTCCAATTTCTTTTCCTTTTCTTCTTCTGATTTCTTTTCCATTTCTCTCTTCATTAATATTCCAGCTAATAATATTTATAAATTCATATTAAAGTAGTTCATTTATTTGCATGGCATAAGCATATGCATTGAAAAAAATTAATAACATTTGATATTTTGATAATGGAATAAAACAATTTTATTAAATTAAATTTTAAAAATTTCACAGAGTAAAAATCTTACTTTAAAAGAAGAAATATAATACATAGGTAATAATTAAATTAATGTAAATAAACTTAATTCAAAATCTGTAATTCATTGGATATCCTCAGGACTCTGGAGTACAACAATAGATCATTTCCTGAGAAGAATCTTGGTGGTTGAACTATCAATATGCATCTCTCAGCCGTGTAGCCGCAGCAAAAGCAAAGCAAAAGCAAATTAGAATAGTTTCATTTAGTCTTAAAAATATTAATTATAATAAACAAAATCTTACCACTAAATATGGTTGGCACAGCATTCATTGTAAGACGATTCCTACTATTTGGATTTAAAAACATTTTGTCTTCAAAATGAACACCACACACCCTGTAATTTTTGTATAAAATAGTAGCATCTTTTTTCAGTAAATGTTCAGTTTGACATTTTTCCATCCATTGTTTACACCTATAATAAATTAGTAACGTAACAAATTGTAATGCATACATATGAAAATCATAAAACAAACCTAATTACTCACCTCAATGGGTCGCTTGGAAATCTGAAGTAGCTTATATTTTTCGTTAGTGACATTTTATTGTCGCAAAACTTGACTGCACAAGTAGTCATTTTTTAAAATAAATATGACAGTATAAATATAAAATATTACAAAAAAAAAACTATTTTATTTAAGCAAACACCAAAAATCGTAAAACGTCAAACGCCAAAAACACGTGAAAAGTGAAAACCTAACATCAGACTATCAGGTATAAAGTATCAGAGTGTTGATAACAATATGTTTTGTTTGTCGGATACTCGGATATCACTATCAGGTAAGCCACAAGTATACGATACATTTCAAGTAATTTCAATCTGTTGAAATGGTCACATTGATTCTGGTGGAGACCAGAATCAGGCCATTTTTTGACCAGACAGTAAATAAAAACGGTTTATATCACTAGAAAAAAAAACGGTTTATATCACTTTCATGGATGAAAATATCATATCAGTTTGGCTTGGAGTAAACAACAAATAACATTTATCACTGGCCGCCGAATTAAAAAATATTTGAATTTTTAACATCATATTATTATAATTTATAATATATACAAATACAATTTCACAACTGAGGCCGTATTTTTTTTTTATTCACCGAAATTTTTTTAATATATTTCCAATCATATTGTGTACTACTTCACTTAGTATATTTATTAGGCAGTGGTATTACTTATGTGTTTAGGTAGTTGCAGGTAAGCATAATATAAGATTGTTAGTTTATTATTCATTATTATTCTCCTAGACTCTACACCATACATGTCAACTTATTGAACTTAAATAAACAATCTTAGGTACATATAACGATTCATTATTTGAATAATTAACCTGTAAGTGGTATGGTCTGGTGCCATAGACCGCTGCAGTTTTTGTTTTGGTTTACTTATTAAAATGTCGTACCACTTACGGGTTAAATATGGAAATAAATACCAATATCATACCAATATAATAAATATTAAATATACACATACAATTAACACTAATGACTGAATCCAATCAGATTCATTTTGTTCTAAGTACATATTATGATATATATTTATTTGGTATAATCGTATAGATAAAATTAGACATTTTTTTAAACTTTATTGAGTTTTATATTGTACCAAAGTATTGTGTATTATTTATAACATATTAAGTTATCAATTGCGTAAATTGCGATATTGTTAACATTTATATTTCTAACATAATAAGTAATAACTAATTTAATTTAATTTAACAATTAATATAATTGATATACCTTTACACAAATATAATAATTTATGATATGTTTAATTATGTAAAACAGGTAGTCAATCTCTATTGATGAATATATAATAATATAATGTTTTATATTACTAATATATAGTATAAGTCTAAACAGTACTTTATGATAGACAACTATGACTATATTATGTTAATTAGTAAACTGTTTAGCACTATTGGTTAATTCAATAATAATTTTCTTCACACACCATGTTTACTTAAGTGTAATTTATGTTTTTACAATATTCATGATCAACATCTCAAAAAAGTAATAATATTTTGGTATATATAATAAATAATAATGTATATAACACTTAATATTCTAAAAGAATTTTGCGTACCACAGCCGTAATATAAAACAGTATTTATATAAGTTTTAATATTGTATAATATATTAAACAATACATATATACCACAAAACAGTTAACATACATATTAGTCACTTAACATTATAAAAGTAATGAATACAATTTAAAAAAATTTCAGAATCTGTGGAACATCATTAATATAGGCCATTATGGTTTAAATGTTAAACTGTGTCATTATTATTATTATTATTATTATTATATTTAAATTTAAACTATTTATTGTAAATCTATTTATTAAAATATTATAATTATGTATATTTTACACTGTATGTCAGTACCATACTGTATATTTAAAATAAAAAGTTAAAAATATAAAAGAATTGTATAAGAAAAACGATTCTGAGCGGAGATGGTATGTCAGTCTAGCCCGAGTCTAGGTATAAGACATATTATATACATATCTATGATATTAAACAAAAAATTGACCTATAATAGGTAGGTACCTATAATAAATTCCAAATTAATCATATCACAATATCCATTTGGTACTTATAACGCATTATACATCAACAAAAACCGTGATACTATCATAGATATATAATAGTACACTTTAGAAGTTTCAAGTACCCACGAATAATATTATTCAATCACAACAAAATAACTAAAATAGTTATTCTAACTTCTAAGTTTTTTAAATATGTAATTTCGTTCAAATTTGAATTTAAAATGTCTGTAGAAAATAACTGTGTTCATATATTTTTTAGATTTTTTGGTTACAGTATGAACTATTTATGAGAACCTTTGTTTTAAATTTGCAATCCTTAGCTATAAAAACTGAACATTTTATATTTTATTAATTACAATGATTGATAATTTTCGAGATTTCGATACATTTTGTCAAAATTTCAACTTTAAATGCTTATAAAAAAAAATTGTGTATATGTATTTTCAATGTTTTTGAACTGATATTGTAACAATATCAGGAGTCTTGTATTAAATTTTTACAGTTTTGGCACAACAGATAAAACTTAATTGATATTTATAGAAAAAAAAACTATAAAAAAATTGAAAACTGAAAATGTCCGTAAACAGCTCAAAAAGAGTCAAAATTGTATGGTTCATAGAAAATGCTAATTTAAACATTCAGTGAAATTTCCATGTATCTACAGTTATTCGTTTTTGAATTACAACAAAATAAGGAAATCGCTACATGAGAAATCGAGTGAATATCCAATGTTGTAAAAATTTGAATTTCAAACGCTCATAAAAATTTAATTTGACTTTCTTATAGACATTTTTTTTTTTGATAAAGGTAGATAATCTTATAAGGAATCTTGTATTACATTTTCAAATCTTAGATTTAAAAAGAAAAATTTTTACAAATTCTTAACTCAAAATAATTTGCTAATTTTCGTGATTTTTCCATATTTTTTCAATTTTTGAACTTTAATTGCTTATAAAAAAAAATTGTGTTTAAGGATTTTTAATATTTTTCATCTACCTTTAAACAATATACTAGGAGCCTTCTATTAAATTTTCAAGCTTTCGCAACCAACAAATACAATTTTATTGATATTTTTAGAAAAAAAACTAAAAACAAATGGAAAATGAAAATGTCCCTAAACAGTTCAAAATAAATCAAAATATTTTGAAAATGTTATCGTGTATAGAAAATGCAAATATAAACAACCAGTATCACACTGTAGTTGACTGTATCTCATGACATATTATGGTGATTTTACATGACATGTCTTATAATATTTATGTATAGTAATACCTACTATACCTACAATAATTAAATAATATCATCAAAGAAAAATTAGGTTCATTTATGACAAAGTTTTACATTAGTAAGTATAAAATGTATAAGTTGCTTAAAGATAACAAAATAATGAATGATTTATATATATTCTAATAACATACATTTTAGTCTATGTTTTCTCGTTTATATGAAGATAATTTAGAAATTTAGGTCATAATATAATATGATATAAGTACACTGACTGATATGAGTACACATAATATGATATAAAAAGCGATTTTTTGATTTTTTTTAAGCTTATATTATTGACACCTAAGATCTAACCACGTAACTACACATAATGCAGTACAATAGAATAAATAGAATAAATTAAATAATAGCGATTACAATAAGGGGGTATAACAATTATGTATGGATATTAGACTTTATCAGTGGCGCAAATAGGGGGGGGGGGCTTGAGGGGGCTTAGCCCCCCCCCCCAAAAAAAAAAAAAATCACTCAAAGCCCAAAAAATAATAGTATACCATTCATAAAAGTATGTACCTATAAATTATAATTTAAAAAAAAATGTTTTGGGGCTTGAGCCCCCAACATTTTTTTCCTATTTGCGCCACTGGACCTTATACTAAGTATCATCAATGTAGTAACTTCCTACATTTTTTTACTTGCTGTTTTGGAAAGTGGGCAGCCAGAAAGCCAGCCCTTTTACAAAAATTATGTCAAACACAGTGGCAGAACATACAAGTAATTTTTGAATATTACTTACACGCACTACAAATTTGGAATAATATTCAAATAAACTTATATAGAATATACCTCATCAGAGAGGGTGAGATAAAGAAATTGCACTTCATGTGAGTTGGTTGAATGTATTTTAACTATTTGATTTATTCATATTATGTATTTATGTGAGAAAGTTATGATAAAAAAAAACGTTGATTTTTTAAATAAATGTGTATTTTTATTGGTTTTTAATGATGGTACTTTAATTAAGTATTCAATTTAAAACAATTTAATACATTGGACATTAAAAATGCTATCTACCGATAAACTATGGCATTACAAATTGAACACACTTTTTAATTCACAACTTAACTAAAGTTAATTTCTGCCCACATTTGCAGAATCGGAGTATAGGAGTATATTTGATAAAAAAAACTTATTATTAATATTAATTATTATGATATACCATAGGCGTGCCTACGGTGGCAGGCTTAGGGTGCCTGGGCTGCCCCTGCAATTTTTGAAAGCGGTCAACCGAGTCTTAAGTCAGAAGAGTTACAACATTTATTTTTTTTTTTAAACTTGATTTTTTTGTCTAATTACCAATTACCTACTTACAAAGATTGATTTCCTGACTTCCGAAATCGGAAAAACCTACTATAACGACTTGAGACAGACGACGACGGTAGCGCATCTAGGTATTATTGATATTATTGTTGTATTATTTTTGATTTGTAGCTAGGAGGTGTAATCCAACTATCCAAGGCTGTAGATAAATAATATTTCTGAAGTTACTGTAGATTTTTCCGAAAAAAATTAAATCAGACTTTTTATCACTGTGCTTTTTTTCCGACTCCCAGTTCCGTCCGGCGACCATCCCAAATAAAAATGTAACTATGGAAACTAGAAAGGTATAATACTAATTGCGTCCCAGGCATAATATTGGTTAGAAACTTATAAATTTAATATTTAAATTAAACAACGAAGCTTATTTGAATAATTGAATAAAAGACATTTTGAATCAGGTAGTAGCAGATTTC